GTTACTTGGACCAATAGAACTGCTTTAAGCAATGATAATTAGGTTGGAAACACCGCTGCAGAACTTCTGATCTCTATCGACTTTTTCTTGGCCCAGGTTGAAACCACCTATCAGATCTTAGCAGGGATATTCACCAGCGAATCTGGCACGTCAGCTGAAGATGATACACTGAACAAAATTGGGAGCAGCATGTGTCCATGTCCCAGGGCAAATGTCCGGAGATTTCGAGCAAAAGTGGTGACTTGGAACTGGCCACAGCTCAGTACTGCACGTAACTCACGTAACCATCCGTTGTTGACATCCCAATCTTTGGCCAAAATCACTAGCTTCATCAAATATCAAGATGTTCAAGTCACATATAATGCGGGTCACAATTTTAAGGATATGTTTATGATATTTTCCAGAATGGGATCATGGGAAAATCTGCACTCCCAATCAGTTTGACGGTGGAAATCCTGGTTTCCTTCTAAGTTTCTCCCAACAGAACCAATCCATTGATCATCAGTAAATCAATGTTTGGTGGTAAAAACAATTTTCGGATTTAACACCATACATCCTTCATTAATCTTCTTGGAATGAAACAATTTGATGAGTTGGTGTGTGTGTGTTAATGAAATCTTGTTGCTAATCAAAATAACAAGGGTATCTAAGATTGGTGTTGACGATTCGTATAGTCTAGTGTTCCTTGATTTCTTCTATGATTAATGCTAGCATTTAGTTTCTATCTCTAGACTGCCCTGCTGTATTCCTTCCCTATGACTTTGATCCATGTCAACATGAAACGCCCATGCAATGGGCCAACCTCCATGCAGCCTACGCCACCACTTAGGTTGGCCAATCTTGAATGCAAAGATGGTGGACTTTTGCCAAAACTTGTTGGACTTAGGACCGGTTTCTATTGATGTCTTAACTTTGAGGGGATAATTTAATATTATTATTCCACAATGAACTATATAAAATGTTTATGTAATTATGCACTATCTATATATATATATATATTTATATACTAAACACACGCACACACACACACGCACACTCCAAAAATGGCCATGCTTGCAGATTTCGAAACAGAGACCGAAACCCCTCGATTTGTCCTTAAATTCTGGTGTTCCTGCCATGGGCGTGGCCGGCTTCAAGCTTGTGTCATGGCTTCTTTGCACCCTGGCGGTTGATGCGTTCAAACTCTTGGATGTGGGTCCGCCGAGAACAGGGACGCAGACCATGCACGATGCCATGAAGATTCTGGGTTTGAAGCCACTGCACACTGGGTATGAGTTATCTGTGCGTCATGCATTGTGTGGGCCCCTTTTCAGCATGGGAACAAGGGGGATTTACGGCCGGATTTACAGACGCACGATGGGAGTAGAACCTGGCAATCAATACAGGAATGTATGGCCATAGCAATCATGGGTGTTTTATGTGTTTATGTATAGTTTATATATTGGTTTCCAGTTGCACATTGTTTTCTGTTTGGTCCATGGCAATGCTTTTGAACAGTTTGATTTGTCAGAGGTTCTGTATTACCACAGTTCGCAGACGATCTGAACCTCATGTGGCCATTTCCCTATGTCCTTCGTTTTTTTCGTGTCAAAATGACGGAGAGGTCGTTGTTTTTCAAATTCCTCTAGAAGGAAGGAACCTTTAGAGGAAATAGCTGGAAAAAACGGGTGTCTTAGATTTGAATGTTGCATCGCTTCACTTTTCAAGTCAACAGGAGCAGTCGAAATCAAGTACGCGTATAGTAAGAATTGAAGGACTTGTCGTGATAATGAGGGAAAGACTTTGCACCTTGTATTCCCAAAATTGGGATGATTACACAACCATGTTTTTCTTCCAGGTATCTCTTTGGAAATGGTTCCTTGGATGATGCTTTGGCGGTCTTTGATGGGTATGATGCCGCCATGGATGAACCGGTGATGCTAATGTACGAAGAGATTATGGCAGCATTTCCTGAAGCAAAGTTTCTTCTCACCATTTCTGATGCAGAGAGCTGGTTCACCAACTATGTCGAGATGGCGCACTTGGTCGACGCTAGCGGGAACAGCTCAGAACTTAAATTTTGGTATAGCTTGCCGGCCAACTGCATAGCTATGCAGTCCTGGGGCTGCAATTTCCTGCATACACCCAGTGCAGAAGACAAGGACACTTGTTTAAAAAACTATGACCGCCACATTAAGCGAGTGCAAGATGTTATCCCACCTGAGCGCTTGCTGGTGTACAACTGGTCTGACGGCTGGTCCCCACTTTCGCATTTCCTGGGCAGCCGCATTCCGGAGGAACAGTTCCCCCATGAAGATATAGCCAAATTCTACTCAGAAAAGAGGGTTGCAGCAAAGCTGGGCATGAGCCTTGGCTCTTAGGAAGAAAAAAGTTGACTCATGCGGCTCGGGCTGGCGCAGGTGGGGATTTGATGGAGTGCCTTCTGGCAAAATCGGAAAAGCAGCTTTTAATATCATGATGGTTAATGATGTTTTTTGATGGTTAATAATGGTTAGTGATGATTAACTATACATAACTTTACTATGGTTGATGATGGTTTACAGTTGTTCGAGGAATCTATCAGGAGCCAGCTCAATAGGTCCAGATGCTCCACTGCAACAACCACTACAGAGAAAGACACCACAGCCCGCACAGTGCTTGTTAGGATAGATGGTTGAGTGCAGGGGTCCAGCCAGTGCAGATGCATGTCATTGCCATGATTTTTCCATCGAAATTATTTGGCCTCAACTTCAATCTTTGACTCTTGAGAATTGAGAGCAAAGATTCCAAGAACCAGATAGGATTTCTCCAGGATTTCAAAGAGGAAATAGTTTGGGGAGAGTTAGGTTTTTTCTTCAGGGAGTGAATTGGGACGGGAAGCATTTGCCCAATTGGGAAAGCATTCTGTGAAGCAGACGCTTAACATGGCAGCATGGGTAATGACACAATGATTGTGATCATATACAAGCAAAATCAGGAGACAAACGCACATTTTGTAAAAATAGACAATAAAGGTGAGCTGCGATATCAAAGTTCTTGCAATTTGATTGCGTGATAGTCAAGCCATCCCAACCTCAGCGGACAAACTTCCTGACCTGTCCGCGGTGGATCAGTTCCCAAGGGTGCAGCTGGTGAGCCATCCATCTCCTCAGAATGCAGATGGTTTTGCCCCAATTTGCTCATCATGTTGAGTTATCTTGAGTTACCAAAGTTTTGCAAATGTTAAACCATAGCCATGTCAACGCTGCGACAGGACTACTACGAGGGATTTTGACTTTCAGCTTCGCTTAAGGGTTGTTTCTCGTGCTTGGATGCAGCGCTATTGAAACCAAATTTGACTCCGCATATGTGAGTAACATTGTAGTCATTGATGTTTTAGATTCCACCAGACATAACAGTTGCATGCGAACATGTGGAATACATTTGGTAAAAATATGGGATTTTGTTTTGTTATCTTATGGATATTCGATCGTATGGCATAAGCACCCTTTGTTCGTAACCCATAGCTCTTGATACTCTTTGAAGAATGTGAATCGAGCATGGCCATTTCGGTTGTTCTTGGTCAAATCCTTCCTGGGGGAAATCATGGATGGGCAGTTCAGAACTTCAATCTTGTGTTATAGAGGATTTAGTGTATCATGTTCAATTATATATCATACATATATTTAATAGTTATGTATATATATATATATTGGTGTGTGTGTGTTAATGAAACTAATCAGAAAAACTGCCACACTTAGGTTGGCCAATCCTGAATGCACAGTACTGGTTCACATTGGTCCCACTGGTCCAGAAACGGCAGATACCCAATATCTTTGCCCCCACTGACGTTGGTTAACTCCCGATGAAGAGTAGTGATTCATCCCCAATTATATGGATATGGGATGGATCAAAAATGAATCCCACTGCTTCCCACAGATTTTAGGATTCATATTTATCTATTTTTATATATCATTCATCTATGTTTATATACCCTCTGGTAAACTAACATAACTATGAAAAATCGCAACGTTTAGTAGGTAAATCCACTATAAATATCTATAAATGGTCCATTTTCAATAGCAAACTGTTCGTGTACCGGAGGGTAGCCTTAAAAATCACCCCTCCCAACTCCAGATCAGGCACCAACAGCCTCCCAGCCCACCTTTGGCGCCGAATCGGCTTCACCCAGCGGCCCTGCCATGCGCAGCTGGTGCAGCGGACGCAGCTGGAGGTCAGTGGGACGCTGCTGGCGGCGCGGAAGGCGCTGGAACGTGGCATGGCAGGCGTGGCACAGCGGAGAATACGTAGATTTTTTTTTGGAGAAAGGATGGAAAGGATGGAAAGGATGGAAAGGATGGAAAGGATGGAAATGATGGAAAGGATGGAAAGGATGGAAATGATGGACAGGATGGAAAGGATGGAAAGGATGGAAAGGATGGAAAGGATGGAAAATATATATGGAAATCCATGGTAAATGCGGATTGCCGGCATGGCATTTAGGAGATGTTTGGTGAATTTACCATCTTCAGGCGGTTTTAAACTGGAATCTATATTTACTATATAAGAAACTATTGAAACATGGGGATGGAAGATAGTAGGGGGCTACAGCTAAAGGAGACATGGGGATGCAAACGAAATTCTGATTAGGGCACATGATTTCTTTGACCATGTTACAATCGAAGCCAGATACGGGGACCGGAGATGTGTCTGTAAGGGATGGGTTCTCTAGGACTCTTTTCCCTTCATACTGTGCTACCTGGGATATTGTGCGCACCAGGTCACCATGTTCGCCCAAAAAGGCCAGAACTTTCACCTTAAAGTTTTGGCAACTTGATGCAGTTTAGCCATGAAAATATCATGAACTGTTCCATAAACCCATATAAACCTGCTTTGCGGATGGCGATGGTGAGGCAACTTGGCCGGTGGCACCCATCACGCCCACCGAGCCTATGGAAGCGGATACACCGCACTGAATGTCGCTGGGCGGGCAAGTCTGCAAGTCCGCAAGACCGGCAATTCAACGAGGCCGTGGAAATTATATGAAAAAAACCCGTAATTATAATCATATGATGATTTATGATCCTTAATTATAATTATAGAATATATAGATGGTTTACATAGATGTTCAATCATTAACAACCGCTCTTTTCCCCGTAGCTAGAGGGATTAATCTTCATGGTTCTCATTTCCTGCTGGTAAAGTCCGGATTTGTTGTTGGTCGAATTTTGGAGTTTGCTTGTTTGCTGTGTTTGTCTTCACAGGTGGAACTGGAATGTTTTTTCGAGGGCAAAATCGTTCCTCATGGATTCATGGTTTTGTTCGCATTTTCTTGGTCATGTTTTTTGCGTAATTAGAGTTTTTTTTTTCTGGAGCCGCTTCGCTTGTACATCAGGGGTATCAATAGAACCAATGGATGGAAACATATGATACGTGGTACCTCGACTATTTACAAGCGTTTTATTTGTTCAGAGACATTTTTGTTGAATTCCCACATTAGTGACCAGCTGTCATGGCACTATTTTGGCTGTCAACTGTTGTTTACAGTACCCACTATTTTTGTCCATCCCAAGTGTTGTTAGCATCCCAAGTGTTGTTGGCTGCTTGGGATGCTTCAATGCCCGAACCATCAACTTGGCCGAGCTCCGCATTGCCGGCATTTGTTCAGCCCGATGGCCCCATGATACATCTGTCTTAAGTTCTATTAGCTTCGTGCAGGCATAAGCACATCGCCTGCGGCGCCCATTCAAACTGCTCTTGGTCATTTCTTGCTTAGCCTAAACCCATTCTCACAACATTTAGCCCCGATGCTGATGTTCATCCGCCCTGTGTTTGAACCTCCAAATCAGGACCTGGCAATCACGGCAAAAGTTCTTCTCAAGGCCAGCCGCAAACTTATTGAAGTGTGATTTTTTTCCCCAGCCAAAATGGGTGAGATATTTCAGAAGAATGGGCACATCAGCAGCAATCAGGGGCGTACAACTTGACGCGATACTCTAATCATATAAGTGGGGTATGAACACCAAATTGGTGTGATTTTTGGGCGTGGGCTGGCAGCATGCTACCGAACTTCATGCTACATGTGCAAAACATGGCCGATGATCATGTTCATTGCAAATTCATCCATCAGCAAATCGATTTTTGTTGGTTTCCATTATTTCCATTGCTTAGATTGTCAGAGGGCATGCCATAATCTTCGGGGGAGTGGACAGCAGCATGATTTCTAGGCTGGTGTCCGTCAGTGTACATACAGCTTTAAAATTGCGTGGTCGCAGGTTATGTCCGAATCTTTATTTTTAAATTGTTTTTATTTTGGGTTGACCCTATCCATGCAAATTTTAGGCCTGCTTGTGATGTGACATGCGCGCCAAGCAGCGTCACAGAAAAGGGCACCCCAGGCCCGCCATGACATCGAAGACACGGCTAGACTAGACCTGCAAACGAATTTTTAACCCATTATTTTAACTATATAAATTTTATATAATTTTATATATGGGAGATTCTCTAAAATGCTTATAAGGAACTTTTAAATCCGAGGGCCGTAAATATTTGGGCAGTAATGTATTTTAGATTGCAGTACAAGGCGGAATCCTGTATATACGCAGTGAAAACGCTTTCCTGCAAGTTGGCGCTAGATTTGCGTTAGTGTAGCGCTAGATATTTTGATATACTTATACTTATACTTATTATATACATCTCATTGCAATGTTTTTGGTTGCCATTGAAGTGAATCTCAAGCCTGCTAGTGAAGATGGCTCCTGACACATGTCGCTCGCTCCAGTGCGTAGGGCGCCTCCAGCAATCTATGGTGTCCGGTGTTTGCGTTTATCGGTGCCAAGAGAAGCCCATCACTGGTTGTTTCGCAGGTGAGCTAAACGTAGTCCTGGCGCTAGATCCGCGCTAGATCAAACCCGCAGAACCACACAGTTGCCCATTGACCAGCTCATAGAACCTGCAAACTGCGAACATTGCTAGTATATGTGTTCAAAAGATTTGTCAACTGCCGGTATACCTCCCCCAGAGGAAGAAGCTGTGGCTCGCCTGCTGATTTGCGATCTGGACGTCCACCAAGGTGACGGCACAGCGGAAATTTTGAAGGAAACAACGGGGCCCAGGGGCAGCAGGAAATCTGTCGAGAATCCTTGAGTGGATAGCTAAAGAATTTTGAAATTGAAATGGGAAGGCAGAAAACATGGGGACTGAACTTATGGACCATACCAAGGAGTTGAGTGGGTAGCTAAAGCATTTTAGAAAATGCATTTTTCAAAGCAGAAAAGAAAAAGGGAAATGAACTATCAGTAATGCTGGGGAGTTGGTTAAACCATTAAAGATCAATAAGAAAGGGATGCAGCACTGCAACCGCATTCTTGGAAACATGTATATGGGTTCTTTCATTCTCTCATGGTGGTGTATGCTAACGCAGCTTCCTTTTTTTGCACTGGTTTTGGATTGGCTAAGAGCGAATTGCCAACGGGCACTCTGAGTGTTGTGACTATGTTTGTACATTTAGACAACAACCGGCCAATTTGTTTGGCTGAAGTGGACTTCTCTACCATTCCGCATTTCATGTGTTTATTTCAACCGCTGCGTTGTTTTCATGTGCTTTGCATCGTGATAGAGGATCGACCGATGCGTGGCTCAGCCCTCATCTAGACTTGATTTAGAGTTTATTGAGTGCAAGACCAACAAACACAAAATAAAAACGTGCAGAAACGCTGTGTGTATGTGTTTTCTTGGGTTTGCCCCACTCTTTGATGAAAAGTTACAAGGTGAGACAAACAGTTTAAATCTATAGCACCAATTAACTACACATAGTTATGATTGGCATTATATAATCCTAGTTGTTGGAGTTATACTCCAAATTAACTACCTAAGGCGGCCCTGCCTGGCCTCGAGGAGGAACCGAGAGCCTTCACCATGTCAGTCCATTGCAAGGACAACTTTCCCTTCGGCTTTAAGGTGGCCATTCTCAGGGGATAGACATCCAATTGCCCCTGCATAAGGCTGGAAGTCATCAGCCATATATACCAGTGGACGTGATCCGATCATATCCTGCCAGTCAAGAACTCCAACACGACACTTCAGGGCAATCATTGTTGTGGCATTATTTTTTCAATTGCATTCTACTGCAAAAGAAGCCATGGTGGTTCAGATGGTTTCCGACCACCGTTCATTGTAAAAATCAGAAGCCGCTTGTCGAAAGAAGAATTCATTGTAGGGCATGAGCAGGGTTCATGGTACAAACACCAAATTGAAGCAGCATTTCGAACAAAAAAAAGTGAAGGTGAGAAGATAATTGGAAATCATTGGCCCAAAACATGGCATCAAGGGATAGGCTGAGACCTCTCGACCAGGGCATGTCTCATCTTGGCCATGATCAAAGCGATTGGAATGTGGCGTTGCCCAAGGGCACCGCTGATGCTGTGTGGCTTGGCATGAGCGTGATATCCGGATGTTGAAACACATCATTTAGACCATTCATTGGCTTTCAGAAAAAAATAGCACAATGGAAATATGATGGACAAGTGATACCAGATACCAAGCTGTTGAAATCCGTGTGATACCCCAAGACATCCCAAGACCATTGGCTTTTGGACAATTTTTAGGGATTTCCAGCTTACGGAGCCACCAGACGGTAACAAAGCACACGTAGAAATATCAAGCCCCTAAATGGAGATATAAAAATAAATTCAAAAATGTCATACAACCTTGCTTTCATGTATTTTGCAGACATTGTACATATTTTGTTCACCCTTGTTCATACCTATCAACACCACCCAAAACTATATCATATATCCAAATAGAAACAACGCATATAAAATTTACTGTTCCTGGCGGGGACACAAGGTGGACCCATTTGGCCCTGTCGCCAAGGTATTTGGCCACGGTCTTCGAACATCTGCAGGCTGTTCTGGAGGACTTTCGTCCTGAGCTGGTCCTGTACGATGCCGGGGTCGAGACTCGAGCAGAGGGGTCGTGGCTCGTGGTCCAATAAGAAAATCAATGGATTGGTTTAAGGAACAAATTAGAGGAAACTCCATATTTCATGGGAAAATCTTTCAGGTTTTCCCTTAAGCCAATCCATTGACAGAAGATAAAGAGAGGTACCTGAGTGGTTGAGAACCGAAGAAATTCGGGGATAGTCCATTGAATGGTGGCATATGTTTGGTTTGTCTGATTTTAAGGCAAGCCATGGGATAGTTTGAACAGAGGGCACCCCATGTGTTGTTATGTTTGGTCAGATTTCTTTCGATTCACTGGCACAGATTTTTGTAAACACACGTCCTTTAATTTCTACAATCTCAACGTGTGGAAAAGACATTTTTGTTGGAGTAATTTCCACAATGATGGCCCAGTGGTGTGCTCAACCAAGATCAATCCACGAAACTTGGGCGGAAAAACCTTTGGGAGCTGGGCCGCTGGGATAGAGCATTGGCCTAAGAATGGGCTTCCCCCCGGTATAACCGTATAACCATTGATTGTTAAGACGTGTTTGCTCCTACGAGGTGATGCCCAGTAATTTCGTAAGGGGTCAAGCCGGCCCCAGGATGTTCATGTGGAAGACGATCTGGGGAATTTCTGCATTTCCTGGGACGGCTTGCGAAAGCGAGAAGAGAAGCTGAGCAAAACAAGTGCTGAAGCAGGACTTGTTTTTGGTGCAGGGCATCTGAGAGGCTCGCGACTGTTGTCATTTTTGCATTCTACTATGAAAAACCTTGTGTGGGGGGGTGGGGTGGGGTGGGGTGGGATAATAATGTCATTTGACACATATGTGATGCAACATATTTGCGCGTTCTCTTGCATTCACATCCACACATACGTCATGCTACGCTGTAGGTTCTCTTGCGCTTCCACACGTACGTCATGCTATGCTGCTGTAGATTCTCTTGCATTTCCACACATACGTCACGCTAGGCTGTAGATTCTCTTGCACTTTCACACATACCTCATGCTACGCTGCTGTAGGTTCTCTTGCACTTCCACACATATGTCATGCTACGCTGCTGTAGATTCTCTTGCACTTCCACACATACGTCATGCTACGCTGCTTTAGGTTCTCTTGCACTTTCGCACATACGTCATGCTACACTGCTGCAGGTTCTCTCGACACATATGTCATACTACGCTGCGGTAGGTTCTCTTGTACTTCCACACATATGTCATGCTACGCTGCAGATTCTCTTACTTGCACTTTCACACATGCGTCCTGCTACGCTGCGGTAGGTTCTCTTGCACTTCCACACATACGTCATGCTACGCTGCTTTAGGTTCTCTTGCACTTCCACACATGCGTCATGCTACGCTGCGGTAGGTTCTCTTGCACATCCACACGTGATGATGATGATGGTGATGATGATCATGATGACAATCATGATGATGATGTTGATGTTGATATTGCTGACGATACTAAAGTTTCGTTCTTGGGCCTTTTCAATTCCCCCCCAGAGAATGTTTGAAAAGTGACGACAGTCGCGAGCCTCACAGATGCCCGGCACCTTGTTTTTCTCAAGGTGGCAAGTGGTGGCAATGGGATTTTAGGCCTTGATAAGTTGGCACGGGGCCTATATATTTGCGGCAGCTATCTATCTATATATATATATGTGTGTGTGTGTGCATCTTTTCAGTTTTTTGCTGAAACTGCGCAAGTTTCGAACATCAAAATCCATAATCAGTCGATTCATTCAATATTTGGCGATTTCACAGTGAATAGCCTAAGATAAGATTTGACCTGGGTGACCCATAGCCCTTCAATTGAAAGTCTCCCGTTTCCTAGCCTAAATGCATATAACATATGCCATGATCTCTTGGAGATGGCGATGGAGAGGGAGAGATATGCCATGGGAACATGTCGACTAGGGAATCCAGCTTTGGACCCAGTTTACTTTATCGTTCTATGTGCCTAGCAGTAGCATCTTTTCTCCGGACATGCCTTGAAGAGTTGTAGGGCTCTGTGACCTATCTGTATTTGATTTTATCTTCTGTCTTTCTACTTGTTTATCTATCCGTGCATCTATTTTTCTCTTTATGTCCATATAGATAGATAGATAGACAGATAGATAGATAGATAGATAGATATAGATATAGATATAGATAGATATAGATATAGATACATATAGATATAGATAGATATAGATTTAGATATAGATTTAGATATAGATAGATATAGATAGATATAGATAGATAGATAGAAATAGATAGATAGAAATAGATAGATAGAAATAGATAGATTTATAGATAGATTTATAGATAGATAGATAGATAGATAGAGAGATAGATAGAGATAGATAGGCAGACAGACAGACAGACAGATAGATAGATAGATAGGTAGATAGATAGATAGATAGATAGATAGATTAGATAGATTAGGTAGGTCGATCAGATAGATAGATTAGATAGATTAGGTAGGTTAGATTAGGTTAGGAGAGATTAGATTAGACAATTAGATAGATAGATAGACAGATAATATATAGATAGATAGACAGATAAGATAGATTAGATTAGATTAGGCTAGAAAAGATAGATAGATAGATAGATAGGTAGGTAGATAGATAGATAGATAGACTAGATTGATTAGATAGATGAGATAGGTTAGATAGATTAGATAGCCTGGATAGTTTTTTTTGACAGTCTTGATAGACAGATTGATAGGTTAGATAGATATATAGATAGATAGATAGATAGGTAGATAGATAGATAGACTAGATTGATTAGATAGCAGATTAGATAGGTTAGATAGATTAGATAGCCTAGATAGTTTTTTTGTTTTGATAGTCTAGATAGACAGATTGATAGATTAGATAGATAGATAGATAGACAGATTGATAGATTAGATAGATAGATAGATAGATAGATGGATGGATGGATAGATAGATAGATAGAGATAGATATAGATAGATAGATAGATAGATAGATAGATAAATAGATAGATAGATAGATAGATAGATAGGTAGATAGATAGATAGATAGATTAGAAAGATAGATTAGATAGATTAGATAGATTAGATAGATTAGATAGATTAGATAGATTAGATGGACTAGATGGACTAGATAGACCAGATAGACTAGATAGATTAGATAGATTAGATAGATTAGATAGATTAGATAGATAGATAGATAGATGGATAGATAGATGGATAGATAGATAGATAAATAGATAAGATAGATAGATAGATAGATTGATTGATAGATAGATAGATAGATACATTTAGTTAAAGATAGATAAACACAGATAAATATAGATAAATTTCAATAAGTCTAGATACATAAAGATTCAAAAAACATAGATAAAGATAGATAGCAACATAGATAAGCTAGATGAATATCGATACATCTAGATAAATATAGATGTCTAGATAAACATAGATAAATATATAAATATTAAAAAAAACACTAGATAAAGATAGATAACGACATGTAAATAGATGAAAATAGCTAAATTTATATAGATAAGAATAGATAAAATAGATAAAGATAGATAACTATGGACAAATATAGCTCAAGATAGATAAAACTAGATAAATAGAGATAAATATAGAGGGATCGATAGATAGACAGACAGATAGATAGATAGATTAGATAGATTAGATAGATAGATAGATAGATGGATAGATAGATGGATAGATAGATAAATAAATAGATGGATAAAAAGATAGATTGATAGATTTGATCAGAATGTGTTTTTTTTGTAGATAATATAGATAGATAGATCGATCGATAGATCGGCAGATCGATAGATAGATAGATGGATAGATAGATTGATGAATAGATTGATTGATAGATAGATCAGAATACAATTTATTTTTACATTTAAATACACATACATATGCAAATATAATTTCACTTGTTCACTAATATTATCAGTAAATATGTTACTACAGTCATGGCATGACAAAGCAGCTGAGAAACATCGCCCTGGCACAGCCCAGGATGGTCCTTCAACTCTGTGTTTCCAAGGGCATTCCAATTGCTTTCGCGCGGGCGCCCGATGACGCCCGGAGGCCTTTGAGGTCTGGCTTTGGCACCGGGGAAAATTGCGCGGATTAAAGGTGAGCAACCCTTCGGAATTTTAACCCCTTTTTTTATAGATGATCTACTGTTTGAAAAATGAGACTAGAGGGTATGTTTTCAGTTTCAAGTTCCATCTTTCCTTTTTTGGGAAATGAATGGATATGATATAGTTACATATGTTTTTCCCATACGAGGGAAAGTAGAAGTATGCAACGGCTTTTGCTTGGTATCTGAGATGTAGTGCACCGTGTCAAGAGCCATGGTGATCCTTGTTTTTTCTGTACCACTGGATGGGAACGGAAACACCATGGATTTCAACAGCGCAAAAATGGGTAAACGTGAAAGATGTTGGAAGCAACTCAGCGATTCGGGGTGCCTGCCCGGTGGGCTTCTACTGATTGCCTGGCTTTAGGGATCGTCCCATGACAGTTGAACTCACCAGCCAGCTGAAAGGGTTGCAGGACCTCAACACACGCGATGTGCAGAATAGATGTTCCATGATGTTTCCCCACCAATTTTGTTCCAAGTCCCATCATTATTCCATGCCACTTTCAGATTCCAGCCCCCAGGTTGCCAGTCAAACCTTTTTTTTTCAAGTTGTTAAATTTTCAAAACACAAAAAAGAACTTGGCATGGCAAAGCCTAAGCTTGGCCACGCTTAGGTCATCGGGGGTGGCTATCACCGCAATGCCAAACATTTGTCACCCGTCCTCACGCTGGACCGTAACTTTGGCAATGGAAATCTATATTCTCAGACCCCTTGCTTTTGACCATGAAAATGGCGTTTTACCATGTTAACTTAGTATGTTTATTTTTTGTTGATGTATTGGAGGGTCCAGGTTGTGACAACCTCATGAAAATCAACACACCATGACACATCTACATTCAAACTATGTGGAAGTAGTTCAAAAACGGATTCAGTGGAACGGTTTAGGTTTGAACATACAGTACCTTTCAATATATTCCAACCATGTACGTACAACAAGTACAGTGGTATCCCATGTGGCGGGCCGTTTATTTTTAAGTTTTTTTTTTGGTAATGATAGACAAGACTAATTTAGTGTGTATTCCCATTTCAGGATGGTTACAACCATATCACACCGCTTTGGACAATTACAACGCCATCAATGGGCGGTTCGAATGTGGCCTTCGAGGTCCAAACGCCACGCCTTGGTCTTCCACGCTGCGGCCAAGCTTTACCACGGATAGGGAGGCTGTGAGATGCGGCAGAAACCGTGGAAGGAGGTGCCTGTCGAAACGTGCTTTGAAGTCTTCCCAACGCTCGGAAGGGGGGTCTACATAGTCATGCTTAGTCTACTTTCACCTGGGGGGATTGTACTTCGACATAATCTCGAAGTAAGGGCAAAATGGATTGACAGGATCAGGATAAGGCGTTTCAACTAAGCTTGCCTTGCTTTGCTTGGCTGAATACCGAATCTCGTCAACTAGCCCCGACGGGCACCGTTTTGAGGATTTTTGAGCATAGTTTGAACAACTTTCTCAGACTATCTCGTGGTTTTCCGTTGCCCACCCAGCGTCAATTCTGAACCCAAGCTTTATTCAGAGTTACGTGTCTTATTTATCAGGATACCGTGTTGAGCCACCATTTTCCATGCTGCAGTTTGTTTGTGGTTGGGATGTTTTTCTTTCTCCTCCAACCCAAGATCATGTCTTAATTGGCCTATGTTTTCTGTTTTCACACTTGACAAATGTATTATCTGCCCACTGAAGTTTTTTTGTCAGGCGTGTTGCCCATGGACAAGCAATACTCTTAGTCTCTGCGTGCTAAAGTAGATCTGATGATCTGTTGTGACCATCGCCGTGTTGACCGATGAGGCGTTGGACATGGGTGCCGGTTGCCGATGCCAAACCGGCAGGCAGGAAGAGGATGCCTGAGCACCTCGCGCAGCCAAACCATCCAGGAGAAAAATATATGTTTGATGCTTAGTTAGATGTTTATTAATCCCATCCCCCTAATACTCAACACCCCGCAAATTGTACCAATTATGTGGAAATCCCCTAATTACTAAACCTGAAGTTTATACAATGCCCACAAGAATGAAACCTTGTTTGCTGGACTTCCTCGCCACCAAAAACCCAAGCAATACGTTGATTACGATTATTGTTTTAAAGGCGGGGTTACCTTTGGGGATGAAGTATACTAGTTCACCACATCATCATCATCCAGAATGACGGTGCAGTTTTGGGGCGCCTTCCTTGCCTACATTGCAGTTTAGGCAGTCAACTGTTTTATCCGCAATGTTGGACAATTGGACCACCCCGGCGAATTTCTACTTGAAACTTGGAGCACTAAATGCTTTGGGAAGAAGATTCGAAGTTGGGTCGTATAATTGGGGCAACACGTTTTAAAAACAAAAGCATTTGCATAGGTAGACCTACCCATGGAAGACTATACAGCATAAATTTGAGCAAGAACCTTGCAAGGAGTACCATTTCGCTTGAAACCAACCAACTTTGGGTTCGATGTCTGCCTTCTGGGGCGTATCATATCACCGGCACACTGCAAGCAAAGTGATTTATGGAGGGTTTGGGGGGCATTGGTGTCCACGGCAACAAGTCAAAGACGATGTTGTGCAAACCCACAAGTTTGTTTATGTCCGTGGGTAGTCCCAAGGTAAAAATAAATAGACCACGGTTTCCAGAATCAAAAAGGTTTTCAGTGAACCCAGGACTGGCTGGTGTGAAAGCAAGATGCCCCATGTCAGGCCATGCAAGAAACAGGTTCACAACACAGAAACATGCCATACACATGGAGGCACACGATTGTCATGCAAACCCAGCATCACCATGACTGACTTGTTTGCCGCATGAAACATTAAATATCGCCACTCCCCCAACAAATTAGAACAATTCAGCCAATTAGTAAGTGCTTTTAAATATAATGCTGCACACTGTCATTATGAGTTGCTAGTGGCTTCCGGCCTCCCCATTCCCCCATTTGTGCAACACCGTGTAACACAATGGTATGTTTTTCAAAAACAAATCAAACCATAAAGCATTCTGTCTCTCCCAAGGACTCTCCCGTTCCAGGACGCCGTGCTCAAACGCCAAGCCTTGCGGAATTCAAACAGTTGCGCGCAGGGGATACCAAAATGGCGGTTTCTCTTTTTATTTGTTACCAAGCTTGGAAAGAAGGTCTTTTTTTAAAATGCCAACCTGGGATTCTTGTAATAGACCGCCAATCTATAGTAATATTGGGCGTGCTCCTTGTTGTAAGTTCCCCCCAATTATCATCTCGACGGTCATTCGTCTTGAGTTGAAGTTATAGTTTGTTTCTAGTGTTGGATCTTCATGGTCATCGAACCATGTTCACATGTTCACCATTTTGTTGTGTGGTGATGTTTGCGGCTCGTGGTATATGGTGACTTACGCTGACGCATATCATCATGGAACCCAAGAAAGGCCGTCTTCAGACAAACACTATTCCTTTTTTTCTTGGGCTATGCTTGTCGGCTTTTGTTGATTATAACGAGCTTTGGTCGTTGATGTTCGCATATTTTTGCCGACACTGATTTTGTTTGATGCTGGCTTTGAACCGCCAGATTGATTGCGAGAAATCATGGCACACTGCCATTGCCAGGTGGCGGTTGCGCCAGCTATCAGGTGCCATGGTGCGAATGCAAGCTGCTGTGGTGGGTGATCCCCACCAACTGTTACTCATCCTGGCATATGTACATGTTGATTTTCTTGAACTGGCATTCAATCCGACATTTGTTCTGACATTTCAATTGACATAATTACTCTGACGTTTAACTTTATTGTGTTTTCTTTTTGCATTCTATGGAGTTTATTTGGATTTTTTATTTGAGACATGTTGTTATTCTTCGAGGCTCTTTAGATCTGACACGTGTTGCCTTCTGATGCATGTTTCGAGATTTTACCTGACAATTGTTTTGGCTTTGTATCTGACATTCTGCCCTACAGCCTGTCTGATATCTGACATTCCATCTGGCATCTGGCATTCTCTCTGACATATTTTGTGACATATTTTGACATTCTATCTGACATTTTAGCTGCATGCTATCCGACATGTATTTGGGCATGTTGTATGTCATACTATTGAGGTTTGGATTGGGTTTTGCTTTTTTTAGTTCATATTATTTTCTTTCGTTTTATAGAAGTTGCCTGTAAGCCGTGTCACAATGGTATGATAATGACACTTTCTATTTTCCACCTGACATATTTGCTGACATTCTCCTTACATATACTTTGGCATTCTATATCTGACATTTTATTTCGCACACATTCGGGCAGTTCAACTACCATATGTTCTCTGACATTTTTCTGTCATTTGATGTGGCATTCTTTTTGGCATTGTATCTGGCAGGGAGGCTGCAAGCTCTCGGCAAGGCCCAGAGAGCCTGTGAGCATGGGGAGGAGAACGAGGAGGAGGAGGAGGAGGCGGAGGCGGAGCAACTTAACATAAAATCTAGAGGTCCTCACTTAGCGCGCCGCAAAAACTTGAGAAGATCAAGCGATCGTGAATCTTGTCACGTCAGACTTGTTTTCGGTTTGTAAGCTGAGCATACCATGGTTCACCACACACTGATTGGGGTACGGTTGTCGGTTTGAGATCCACCTCGGTTAGCGCACGGTATATGAGCGAAATTTATAGAGGGGACAACCGGCAAAGATGGAGGGGAACAAATAGAGACAGAGAGTCAACCTCACAAAATGAGGTGCGACTGCAGTCGCCATCATTTCCTTAGTCTTTGATAGGATGGGTCAATCCATCAACGGTCCTTCCTGTGCCAAAACCAGTTTAGCACGGAGAGATTCGTTTATTTTGTTTGATACGGATGCACACCAGCAGGGCCAGGATAGTATCTCAACCGCCCCTGCTGCTGACACCTGGCTCGGTGTCTGTTTCCCAAACCGGTTCTGAGAAACACGTTGGGCTCGTATGGTCAAACTTGGGGTCCTATTGGCACTAGCTTGAACAATGTTGGCCCCAGGGTGTTTAAGTTTGATCCATATTGGGACGACCCCTGAATTGTCTGAATTTGGTTGATTGTGATTACCATGTGATATACTCTACCGGTGACCGTTTCGTTTTCCATTCACGCACCATGCGAATAGAGCACTGAGCAAGCCACAGCTCGAGCTCACACTGCCCCAAACCCAGGATGGTCTTACGTCTCACCAGTGGCACCTCCATTGTGGGAGATTTGGTGCCGGACTCGACCTGGGGAATGGGATGTCGCAGAATGTTTGTTTCGCTGGCTGTTCTTGTCTGTTCTTTACAGCTCTCAATCGATCCACCTTTTCAAACAGAACATGTGTCTTTTACCGTTCAATGGTTTTGTCTTGTCGTTTGCTCGCGTTCTGTCATGCTATGGGCTATGGAGAACTTGCATATCTGTGGCTACTCTAGGAATCCGATGGCTTAGGATATTGTACCGTTGGGTGATCCCGGAATGTAAAGATCCAGGGGAAAACTTTGCCATTTCAATCCAAATCACCTCATACCATGTGAAAACGAAGTATCTGATGTCATATATGTTCGTTCATACCGTGTCCGACCGATGCGTCTCATGTCAATCCAAACCATGCCATATCATTCAGGCTGAAATAATCTCACACCATGTCAATTCAAAAGACATCAAAGTGTTTCACTTCAGACCTGTGTGTTTCGAGTTGGTGCACGCTCCGCAGGTTGTTGATTTCTTCGCCCGATATTCCGCAGTACGTGGTACAGGTTTATTGCCTCTTATGATTCGCCCGCCAAATCCATTGCGGATTTTGGCTTCGGACCAATGGCTAGCGCCAGAAATTACATCCCAGGACCCCGCAATGATGACATTGTTGGTAGGCAACTTTTCTCCCCACCTGCGCTTTGGAGTTGTGTTTGGCGTGTTGTTTCTTATTTGTTCCCACTGTCAAATGGAGTGTTTTGTTCTTGACGCGAGCCGAAGATAAGTCTTCCACATAAGTTTCCTTTCCTTAAGTGACTTCCCATCAAAAGATATCAAAAGAATCAAAACTTCAACTTATGTACACTTCAAAAATAATTGCACAAGTTCCAAAGATCACCCTATATTCACCTTATTACATAGGCCTCGCCCAACCCCCGCCATGGCGCCGGCTTGTGACCCCGTGGCCGCCATCCTGGCAGCGCCGCACGCTTTCGCGCGCCTGGAGCTGCCCTTGGCGCCCGTGGAGGTGGCCACGGTGCGGAGCCACTACCGACGTTGCCCGCCGTGGCACTTGGTGGGGCGGGTGTGTCGAAAATCTCCAGGAAACTCTTGGTTGTTACCCACTTTTTCCCAAAACTGGGAAAATTTCCGGGATATGTTGAGTATTTTTTTTATTTTCCCAGAATCATAGGTTAAACATAGGCATTTTGTTCATAGTTGATCCGTTCCTTGACATGTTGAGGGAAACATGGGGATCTATAGGAATCATAGTGACATATTATAGAAGATCCAAAAGTTTGCTACCATCCCTTATCCTATAGGGGGGCCTGTTGTGAGTGGCAGAAAATAATTGTCCATCCCTTTTTGTTATGTGCGGTTTGGTGGCATGTTACGGAGAGTTTGTCAAATATTGAAACGCCTCATCATTTCTCCACTGAGCAATGCTGTGTAATGTAAAGGTGAAAGAAGGGAAGTGAATCAGAACACAAATACCTTGAAACTATATATATATATATATAATTAGTTTTGTGTCGCATTTGCCGTTTGACCACAGTTGTTTTTTTCCCGATGGAAGCGTGAATTCTTTTTCCCAGAAGGATTTTTAGTGAATTCTTTCTCTACCCCCGGGATGGTGAAGCCCGCAGCTTGTAAATGGGCAAAGCAACCGGTGAATAGTAGGTGTTCATTGCAGCTTTGTTCAGCCATTGCGCATAGAGGAAACCAACATTCTGCCAAACAAGTTTGACTTTTCCTGCAGTCTACCCAGGGCTAGCCAGAAAAATGGATAGAACCACCACAATTTATGGCACCACTGTGTACCACCCATGTATCAAAACATGTTCTGGTGCATCATGTGAAGAGACGATAAACCTAGGTGGCCTTTTCGCCATGGACCAATTTGAACGTAGCAGTTGCTTAAGTATGACCTGCCACCTGCCACGAGGTCTGGCATTAGCTGTCCACCCAGACAAGTGCAAGGACACCAGCAGCTGGGATGTGCGGCATGTGGTTTACATAAGCCGCTCTTTCCCATGGCAGGATGCGAAAGCCAAAGAAGCTTTCCAAGCCTTGAGCGAGGCCTTTGAACAATTGTCCTCAGCAGCTTGGTGACTGCCGTGGCTGCACCGTTTGGGATGATGGGAGGGCGACATCGGGCTGGAATGACGCAGGGTGACAAACATTCTTCGACCATGTACTTGGGGCTCTGGTGGTATGTTGCAGGATTTGTCATTCTTTATGTCATCAGGTCTTGATTGGACAGTTGGACATTGGTTGCTTTCAATGCAGTTCACAATGAGTAGCAGAATAGCAACATGTTTTTAGAGTCAACAGTTCATATCATGTGGGCGCGGAAGGTCCCGGTACCCCTGGTCAGGTAATCTCACATTTCCACGAATCGAAAGTCATTTCGCCATCAATGGATTGATGTTAGCGCTAGATTAATTTACCACAGATTGTAGTTTGATTGGAATGCGAGAGCTTTAGCAGACGGCCACTTTTGGAGAAAAACTTCCCCTCAATCAGCCAGGTTTTGCTAGCCGGGGGCCGGCATTAGATTCTTGATAAGTCAATACATGTGTGCCGATTACCATCAAAGTCGTTCATGGTGGGCTTGCTGTAAAGGGCCATTTCATGATACTGATGGCATTTTACCTTGCATTCATCAGTTACCTGTTTTGCTTGTATACAGCCACTATTAATTTTCCATACATGTTTGATTCGCATACTTAAATCCATCTTCATGACAGCATTACCGCAAACAAACATGATAACCACTTAGGATTAACGATTCGCTGTCATCACGATATGTATTGGACATCATTGCCCACTGCTGTCAAATAACACCCAAACATTGTAAGAATGATTGGCAGTGTTTCCCTCCTTCCGACAATAAAATTGTTAATGCAGAGCAAATTGATGCAAATTGTGCGTTTGTAATCGCATGGTTGAGCTTTAGTTCGTAATTATTTTGGTAAAACATGAATTTATGTTCATCATGTTCATATTTTCCATGCAATTTTACTCATTGTATATAGCATGATTTTTTGCCATATCACTTTTCCACATTGTTCTCTTTTTTTTTCCGTCAACATGGTTGGGACTGGTTGAGAATTGGCATTGTAACCCTCTGAGCCCTACACCTATACATTTCCCACGTTATTGTCCTCATGTTTTAACTTTCTAAAAGCAACTTGATACGGAAACTACTTGCAATATGGACATGTTCCATTCCAAACATCATGCATCATCATGTATTATCATATTATCATTAAATATCATCATACATCATCATTTACCATCATATTATTTTGGACATGTTCCATTCAACACATCATTTCCCAATGATTTTCTCCAATGTTTTTTAATTTCTACATGAATTTCCAATGGCAAGCCCGGATGAAAAACCGTCCCAGGATGCCGGGCAGGCGCAGCTGCTACGCGCCGCCGGCGCGACGCGGTCTTCGCGATGCCGGACGGCCACGGCACCGCAGGACGACACCAAGGTGCGGAGGGGTGGAGGATGTTGCACCATGGGTATTTACAATGGCTGGTTGGTGCTTTGGAACATTTTTTCCCCAATTTTCCCCATATATTGGGAATAATCATCCCAACTGACTAATATTTTTTCAGAGGGGTTGAAACGACCAACCAGATGGGAAACGGATGAACATGATGAAATGTAGCGGATTCACCTGCCCAACTCGAGATTTTGATTTCGGACAAGTTGAGAATTTGGGAAAAGTTGGTGCAGTATTGAAATTAGAAAAAAATGGGTGAATTGTATTGAGCTATGGATTTTTAGGAACAACATCCGCGATGAACCGGCAGGGGCACCAACAGGAAGATGTTGACTTTAGGCAGTTGCGGTGTGGGATCCTGATCACTTAGAACATGCCGGCCTGAATAGCAGTGCAATATTTAGTCATATATTGACAGAAAGATCATGTGTGATATGTGTGCAAATGAACATGTGGCATTGCTAGGCGCTGGACGTGGACGTTTTGGTTGCCACTTTTTTTTTTCTCGCACGTTGTTTGCATGTTTGCCTTGTCCAAACAATGACACTCATGCACACCCAGGGGGCATTCTCAAACTGGAATGTATTCCAAGCGAACAGGTATAGAGAGAGAGAGACACACACACACACCTGATATATGTGTACATTGTATGTATGTAATGTAATGTAATGTAATGCAATGTAATGCAATGCAATGTAATGCAATGTAATGTAATGTAATGTATGTATGTAGTCATGAATGTAGTAATGTAAAAGTAGAGTAATGTAATGTAATGTTATGCTATGTTATGCCATGTTTGTACGTATGTACGTATGTATGTATGTATGTATGTATGTATGTATGTATGTTATGTATGTATGTATGTATGTATGTATGTAATGTAATGTAATGTATTGTAATGTAATGTAATGTAATGTAATTAATGTATGTATGTATGTATGTATGTTATGTATGTTATGTATGTTATGTATGTATGTAATGTAATGTAATGTAATGCAATGTAATGCAATGCAATGTAATGCAATGTAATGTAATGTAATGTATGTATGTAGTCATGAATGTAGTAATGTAAAAGTAGAGTAATGTAATGTAATGTTATGCTAGGTTATGCCATGTTTGTACGTATGTATGTATGTATGTATGTATGTATGTTATGTATGTATGTATGTAATGTAATGTAATGTATTGTAATGTAATGTAATGTAATGTAATTAATGTATGTATGTATGTATGTATGTATTTATGTATGTAGTCATGAATGTAGTAGTGTAATAGTATAGTATAGTATAGTAAAGTATAGTATAGTAAAGTATAGTAATGTAATGTTATGTTATGTTATGCTATGCTATGTTATGTATGTATGTTTGTTTGCCTGTCTGTTTGTATGTATGTATGTTATGTATGTATGTTATGTATGTATGTATGTATGTATGTATGTATGTATGTATGTATGTATGTATGTATGTATGTTATGTATGTTATGTATGTTATGTATGTTATGTATGTTATGTATGTTAAGTATGTTATGTATGTTATGTATGTTATGTATGTTATGTATGTTATGTATGTTATGTATGTTATGTATGTTTTGTATGTAATGTATGTATGTAATGTATGTAATGTATGTAATGTATGTATGTAATGTATGTAATGTATGTATGTATGTATGTATGTATGTAATTAATGTTATGTATGTATGTATGTATGTATGTATGTATGTATGTATGTATGTTATGTATGTATGTATGCATGCATGCATGGATGTATGTATGTATGTATGTATGTTATGTATGTTATGTATGTTATGTATGTTATGTATGTTAAGTATGTTATGTATGTTATGTATGTTATGTATGTTATGTATGTTATGTATGTTATGTATGTTATGTATGTTTTGTATGTAATGTATGTAATGTATGTATGTTATGTATGTTATACATGTAATGTATGTTATTTATGTAATGTATGTAATGTATGTAATGTATGTAATGTATGTAATGTATGTAATGTATGTATGTATGTATGTATGAATGTATGAATGTAGTAATATAATAGTATAGTATAGTATGGTAAAGTATAGTATAGTATAGCATAGTAAAGTATAGTAAAGTATAGTATAGTATAGTAAAGTATAATGTAGTATAGTATAGTATAGTAGTGTAATAGTATAGTATAGCCAGTATAGCATAGTATTGCAATGTAATGTAATGTTATGTTATGCATGTATGTATGTATGTTTGTTTGTCTGGTATGGTATGGTATTGTATGGTATGGTATGGCATGGTATGGTATGATATGGTATGGTATGGTATGGTATGGATGTATGTATGTATGTGTGTTTGTATGTATGTATGTATGTATGTATTTATGTATGTAGTCATGAATGTAGTAGTGTAATAGTATAGTATAGTATAGTATAGTAAAGTATAGTATAGTATAGTATAGTAATGTAATGTTATGTTATGTTATGCTATGCTATGTTATGTATGTATGTATGTTTGTCTGTCTGTCTGTTTGTATGTATGTATGGTATGTATGTATGGTATGTATGTATGCATGCATGTAATGTAATGTAATGCAATGCAATGTAATGTAATGCAATGCAATGTAATGTAATGCAACGCAATGTAATGTAAAGTAATGTAATGTAATGTATGTATGTATGCGTATAACTGCAACGGAATTTACATTTGCACATTGCACATTAGCGAAAACTATGTTCGCATGTTTGGCCGGCTAGGATACCTTTAAAGGAGACATGAACATGTCGAGCTCGGTCCCGCAGGCGCACTGGTGGGACACGACTCTTGATGCAAGATTGGCTGCCAAATTTGGATCGTTGATGTGTGGGTCGGCGGGCGCCCCAATTTTGAGCCAAAACAATTTCATGATTTCGTGATCAGGGAATAAGGCAACTTTGAATTGTCAAATTTTGTGTGAGTTTCTTAAGGTTCCTGTTCCTCACTTTTGAAGACAGTTTGCCTGTTCATCCAGTGGATTTAAGCGCTTACGCGCGACAGCCGCCAAGGGGCCCAACTATGTTGGCCCATCGTGTGGCTATATGTTGGCCTATGTTGGCGTATGGTGGCCTATCTTGCGGGCAACGAGGGCCCATCTTGTGGCTATGTTGGCCTATGTTTGCCTCATGTTGGCCCATGTTGAACCAAAAGATCCGAAAAATGGGAACAGCAAAAAAACTGCTGTAAAACGCAGGATATTTGATGGTCGGCGGCCTATCCTGGGGCTATGTTGGCCCATCTTAGAGCTATGTTGGCCCATCTTGGGGCTATGTTGGCCCATCTTGGGGCTATTTTGGCCCATCTTCAGGCCTATGTTGGCCCATCTTGAGGCCTATGTTGGCCCATGTTGACCCATCTTGGGGCTATGTTGGCCCATCTTGGGGCTATGTTGGCCCATCTTGAGGCCTATGTTGGCCCATCTTGAGGCCTATGTTGGCCCATGTTGACCCATCTTAAACAACAAGATCCGAAAAATGGGAAAAAGTGGGAAGAGCACAAAACACCGTAAAACGCGGGGGTTTTTGGGCCGGACCGGGTGGTCTGCGGCTGGGGCGGCAGCCCCTCTCTCCTACGGAGAGGAGAGAACTGCCGTACGGCAAGGACACGGCCAGGGGGCCCCTGGCCGGATTTCATCATTGGTTCCTTCTTAAAGTACGGATTGGGGCGGGATGGCCATGTGTGAGGGGAAGTAGGCATTGCCAACAAGTGGTATCACCCATGGGCCAACCGCCAACAGGAACACTTGGGAGGAGTTTGAACAACGGCTGCGGCACCGTGAGAGAGCAGAAGCCGCCTTGAACAAGCAGTACTGCGGCAACCTGCGTGTCTCTTTGGAGCTTCAAAACCAGAAACGTTTTGTGGTTTGAACTGTGTTCCCTGATTGTGAAAATTACTGTAGTTGGTTGATCCTAACATGTTTTCTCATTCTAGGTCCTGCTTGAGAGCTCCGGCCCATTGGAGTGCCCAATGAGTTCCCCATGGTTTGTTTCCTGCGAAATTGCCTTCAACGCAGCCTATTGGCATCAAGATTGAAATTCCGAATCATCAGCCTACTGAATGTTAGGAACCCATTGCTTTCTTGCAAAATGCATTTTTTTCCAGATTCCAGATGTTGTGCTAATTCTTATTGGTTAGATCCTTTGTTTTGTGGGTTGGATCCTAGTTTTGTGGGTTAGACTCGGGTGAGCTGCTGTTTTCCTATGTTTTGACCGTTTGAAACGTGTCAAACCATCACTTTACAGCAGCTCATCCAGTTTAATTTGCCCAGCATTTTGATTGCAAAGGATTGTCAAACGTTTTGCTTTGAAAACCAGGAACCTGCCATTTTCGGTTGTTTCAACTACAGTAGTATTTTCCGATGTTTTCCCATCATGCTTGACCCCAGGAAGCCAAGACATGGTCTGTCATCGTGCGCGGTACCGTCCGCCAGGTGAAGTTCACCACTCGCAAGGTCCGCGGCTACGTCTTCGCGGCGGAACGCTCGGTGGAACACCTGGACCGACAGAGGCTCTGCAGAACCAGCTGGAGGGCGATCTAGAAATACGGTGGTTCCTATCAAATGATCGATCGTGATCGATCTAAAAGTTGGGTTTACCATGGCTTACCCTTAAATCCTTTAGATTTATAGATTTATCAAATTTCGAACTTAATCAGGCAAAGTTTGGACATGACCATGAAAAAGGGATAGTTCGCTAAGTGAGAAGGGAAGTTCTGATGGATATGGGAGTTGGATGGGAATAGCCAAACAGTGTCATGGGGAAAACATGGGAAGAACTAAGAACTATCAAGATTGCGTGTTTCATATGTGGGTTTGTCTGAAAAAGGGCTGTATATCCAGGAAATGATGATTTGCTTTATAGGGTACTAGCATGAGGTTTTACTGGGGTGATTCTTTTATCTACACAGGAAAAAAAACCAAGTTTGGGGACATGACCAGAAGTTTTGGACCAAGAATGTGTTTACATGCAGATGAAAACATGCAGCTCAGTTAAATGTGACAGATGTGGATAATTTAAATAGGGGTATGACACGGAACATGTGTGGTTTGTGTTCTTGGTTTGGGTAGTGCCATCAAATATTTTTTTGGCTGGGGGGATCCGTAATCGCCACACGAATTTAAAACAATTGGGTTCTTGTTCGGGGCAATGCCTCCTTGTAGGTTTGGATACCAAGTTTGCCCACCAATGTAAATTAATCTGTTAAACCGGCTAGAAAACATTCCAGCAATGAACCATACATCGGCCTGCACAATTCCCGATAAGGGGAAACCAAACTTGACAAACCTCCGTTGGCATTGGTGCATCGCATCGGGTGTACCTCGCTCACAGCTAGGGTTTTATTGTATGTTGGAAGCAAAATCGTAAAATCCGAATTTGGCATTTTACCATATTTTAATATGGATAATTAATTATACATATAATCAAATATGTATTGAACGTGTATATATGATTTTATGTTTATATGTACATATATATTGATGTATGTATTTTGATATTTCTACTTAGTTGTTTATCATATATATATATATTTACATATTGATACCGTTTTTCTTGTAGTATATTCATATACACTATATATATATATGTATATAAATTGATATTGTTCTACTTGTTTTATGTTTTCGTCGTTTCTCAGGTGTCCCACGTATTCGCCCGTGAAAGCCCCAGGAAGGGTCTGCCCGAGAGCTTGCTGTGGCCCCCCGAGTCCACCCAAGCAGCGAGGGACCTGGAGGAAGAAGTGAACCGTGCGCGGCAGACGGAGCTCTATCCGGGACAGGCCAATGAGATGCCGCTGGGCTAAGGCTGGGCTGGACCTATTGGGTTAATATATGCTTAATAATGGTTAACATATATATAGTTATTATATGGTTAATAATGGTTAACATATATATGCTTATTATATGGTTATTATATGGTGAATGATGGGCTTAGAAACCATATATATATATGATTATAAATGGAAGGATCCCACCATATCCCAGCTAATTATAAAGGATGTACTAGGGTTATTCGATGTTATTCACCAGGATGATCTGCAGCCCCATGATAAAAACCAAAGATCATGGAGATATAATGGATATAATCGGGCATGTAATGGAAATAGAATTTAGAAACCAATCCATTGACCATGTGAGAGTGCCATTGGCTTTGCGCGAGCGTCAAAGCCTACATAACACCCAGAAACTGCCATGCTGTATCATGAGGGCATTTTTGCTCATGTTGTTGCTGGTTGTAACAAGAAAAAACGAGACCTACATGGCAGGAAGTTACAAAAAAAAACAGCAGAGGTGGTGCATGGAAAAGTCGGGTCAGGACCATTGAGTTAGCAGAGGGTTCAACCGCAAGCATGGGGGTGTAGCTGATACAATCCAGAAATGGTTTGTCAATGCCATGTAACACAAGACAATGAAATGACATGCAACCTAAAATAGAACATTCGGTGCCGAAACAGTGTTTCCTTATGGGATAATGCAACATACATTACCGGAAATGATGCAATGTATATTGTAGGATAATGTAGTTCCATGTGTGCACATATGTTTGCCAGTTCCTGGCCAGCCTCGCTCTGAGACAAATTGAAACTAGATGAAACCAGTTGCTGTTCATGTTTTGCCTGCCATGTTTTCCATTTTGAGCCGCGTTTTTTCTGATTTTTGTTGCTGAAAATTATGTTCCATTCTCTCTTATTTCGCGTCCAACGCGCAAAAAAACATGCAACATATTGGGCCTTCAAAGGCTCTAAGGCCGTGAGGGGAGACTGAATGCAGGAATCAAAATGAACAAAAAAACAATGCACCATCAAACATATTCTATAGTTTTAATATGTTGCTCATGTTTGACGAAATTGTTGGAAACGCTGCAAGATTAAAAAGAACTTGCAGCTTCGACCTGGAAACAAAAAATGTTTCAGATACAGAAAAATGAGCACAATGCAAATATGTGCCCCTTTATTTTTTCAAGCCCGGTTTGAAATCAAAGTTCCTTATTTTCTCAATCCACGATTTTTTCTGACATGGAAACTCATGTTTTTGCATAGCGCAAATCAAGAGAAATGTTGAACTCAGTTTTCTCTAGTTCGGAAATCTGGGCGGAGTTGCAACGCAATGTGTTTGTAATTTGCCCTTGCCAAACATGTCTTTGGTTGAGGGGACCCTTTGGCATGATGCGGCATGGCATCCATTGCTTCGGAGAATGTTTTCCCTCAGGTTACCGGACTATCGCGAAAGGCTGGAACTGAATGACCCTGGCTTGGCCCTACAGCGGTTGTTGGCAGCTTGGTGGCTATACTTCAGTCTGCAACAAAAATGTATCAAGGTTATCTGGGTTATTTCGCTGTATGTTTTTTTCATTTTTGTTGTGGAACATATTTAGTTCAACCTGTTTTGATATTTTGTAGCAGGGGATGCAAACTATGTATTGAAGAAGGGATAAGCACATTGAACACTAGACATGCAGATGTGAGCTATGTTGAAATCAGGGTCTCCCCACTTAACATATATAGATTTGCACCCAGATTTGGACTTCATTTGGCACTGGTTGGGTTGTGTGGCCCCATCTCCATTTCACGTGTTTGACCTGGCCATGAACTGTGGTTTGTAAGGCCCATCGGCCTATCATCTGAAAATGGTTTCATTTCTGATTAGGGAATAATTTGACATTCGCCGATGAACATCCATGTATATATATATATGTAAAATATATGCATGTAAACACATCTGTCTACATTTATGTATATATCATTTGCATATGATTTGTATACATGCAGAGTTTTCATGCATGCATGGACCCATAGTACAAACAGCCATATCCAGCCTAAATGACATCAACGCCATCGTGGTTAATGCTAGATTCTCCCCACTTAAGGATGGGACACCCAATCTTTCCTTCCCAGTCAGGTTACCCTTCTGAGTGTAAATTGAAGCTGAAACTAAATAGATCCAATACTAAACAAAACTTTCTGGAGGTATTTAGATTTGGGGAAGGAGTTCACTGCGCCTTGTTAGTTTTGCAAGTGGTTTATGCCAGCGGGGGGAAAACCGCACCAGCGTTTTGACCGTTTTTGAAAACACACTTTTTTTTATCCGTCACATGCACATCGCACGTTATGTCACTGGGTTGGGGGGGATGTTAACGTTCATGTTAACTTGCGTCACATGCACATCGTACGTTTCGTCACTGGGTTGGGGGGTGCGGATGTTAACGTTCATGTTAACTTGCGTCACATGCACATCGTACGTTTCGTAATTGGTTGGGGGGTGCGGATGTTAACGTTCATGTTAACTTGCGTCACATGCACATCTGACGTTACGTCACTGGGTTGGGGGGGTGGAGATGTTAACGTTGATGCTAACTTGCGTCACTGCGATGTGGCGACTATCAAAGTCCGCCATACCATGCAGTCTCTCGACCAGATCCAACGGCCATGTTAACCCAAAATTGATGCGATCAAAAAACCACTTCAAATTCCCGGGGAATTTAAGCCTATTTAGGGGAATGAATCAATAGTTTCGCTCTGGCGAAAACGACACTTTTTTCAAAACGCTCAAAACGCTGGCGCGGTTTTCCCCCCGACGGGTGGTTTATCCCATCTATAGCTGGGTTAAAATGGGTTAAGCAAATTTCAAGCACTGACAATTGGGAACCGTCATCCATGTTTTTCATCCAGGAGGTTTGCAGGCACCGACCTTTCATTGACCTTTTCAGCTTAGGAATTGATGACACATTTGCGGACAGTTCACCTTTACTGCCTCTTGGTCCCAGCAGTGTTATAGCTGTGTGTTTTTGTTGGTTGTTCCCCATCAATTTCCGTTCATCATATTTGGTAATCCCCCATCTGGTGTCCTTAGTCCTTTCAGTTTGTTACGACTATCAGCTTATGTTGCTGGCTATATGCCACATTATATCCAGTGAGAATGCAGTGATATTCCCATGACACGATTGCTGGAGCCATACGTAAAGATAGTTAAGTCCCTTAGATGGTTTACACTTTCAAACTAAACATAGATAATGTCTCAAATGCAGTTCCATGTTCCTATTTTCACATCAATTCTGGGAATCTAAGGGATTATGACACAATAATGAACGACTGTTTGAATTCCCGTATGACTAGCATAAAATTATCATAGAAATCTATGCGCTTATCCAGTGGCATCACCATATGTTTTTTCCCTAAAACCTTCCCCATAACACGTCCTCATAAAGAAACAATCCGTTCTTTCCAGGATGTTCGATTATGTTTCCCCCATGATTTACAGGTTTCCAACGTTCACAGTCCCAGCAAATTCTATGAGAAACCCCACTCCTTTTTCAACAACAAGGATAGTACTAATCATCATCATATCCATATATAACCATTATATAACTCAATTCCAAAAACAATTAACTAAGCCATTCCCAGTTTATCAACAAAACAATCTCATGTATTGGATGATTTGACTCATTTGACCAGTGTAGATTTCACCCCTGGATTTGCTCCGTTGGATGAGCCCCCAAGTGGTGGATTTCCCATTGGGAAAACCAGAAATCATCGACTCAGCAACTCCAAGATATAGCCAAAAGATGTTCCCATAAAAACCTCCATTGATGGTGGATTTGCCCAGTGATTTTCCGATAGTTTCCCATGAAAACATTGATTTTCCTATATGTTCCAGTGTTTTTTTCCTTGGATGGTGGATTTTCCCTATTTCCCCATGGTTTATCCCATGATTCCCATAGCCATAACTGGTGCCTGCCGAGGTCTCTACTGCGGTTGCACCTACGACTCCGGCGAGGACATGGAGAGGAACTGCCCGGGCGTCACGGAGGAGGAGCACGACGAAGCCAAGTCCATGGGGCTCAGGTCGGGGAGCTGGCGAAGTTGGAGTAAAATAACTAATAGATGATTACCCCATGACGTATAACATAGTATAACATAGTATGATGAATCTGTTGATTATCATGTTATTACTGTTATTATGATAGTATCGCAACTGTTATAGTATATGAACTAACTACATAAGTCATTATGTATGTCAAAATCATTTTTTATTGATAATATAATTTGATTGTTAATTTGTATATGATACTATAACTTGGTTATCATACCCACTACTTAGTCACTATTGTAAATAATTTAGTTGGATAATGCTTATGATGTTCAATGTATAGCTATAGTAATTATATAGTAAATGGAGTTTATAAACCAATTTATAACTGGGGGATATATCATTGGGGGGAGTATATACATGTATAAATTAATATATTAACATATATATATATATATGTATATATATATATCATTTTGGTGGATATATCATTGAATGAAGTATAGATATATCGTTTGCTGATTGGGGGAGGTACCTAGAGTTCATTAGGTGGAAGTAGCAACAAACTTGTAATTAGGAGGCTGTGGTTAGTTGAGGGTCAACACATGTTAATATTGATTATCTAATTATGGTTATATAATGATGGTTCAGGATGATGGCATGGTCAATTGTTAACAATGATGACTGATGGTTGTATATTTGGGCGATTAGTTGATGGTTACCCTGATGTAGACCAACATAGATGTGGAAAACATGACCATTTCGAGATCACTTTCCTAAGGGAACCATGTGTTCCTGGGTAGTAAACCTTTAATCAACACGTGTGATTGGGAAGCTGATATCGATCTTTAGTATCATTTAATATGAACCTCGGATCTCTCAACCCCTAGGCTGTTTAATGAACGATTACCATTACCTGCCGGTACTTAGTTACATTGCATACCTATGGCAGCCATGGCCTAATCAGCTCGGTGTTTTACCGAGTAAAAAATATTTTTTGTTTGTTTGTTTTTTTGCCTTTTGAATTACTACGGAGAGGGAAGGTCTGTAGTTTTTCGTCAGTTTGATGGGATTGATTGGACCAACATGCGCCGGTGCGCCGTATGTTGGATACGCCTTAGATTGGGTTGGTGTTGAACTTATGTGTTACATATCATGTTCAGTAATGTTTAATATGGTTTGCCGAGATCTACATTTGTCAGATATGTTTGTGAGACATGGTAAGTGGATGTGCTGTAGATGATTGTAGATGTTCTTCAAATATATGGCTGATGCACTTGATTTGTGTCAGACATGTTTGCCATCTGTTTTCAACAGCATGTCACTGATGTGCACAAGGGCCTCAAAGACGTACCACCAGCATCCACCAACAACCCATCGCGGTATTTATCCCATCTTGTGTTGGTTGGCCAATCCAATACATACCCCTCTCGCCAAAAGAGGCACAATCACATTTCAAATCGGGTTTCTGAATCGTTTTTTTCCAAGTTCGAGTGATCCCCATTTCTGCCCCTGAAAAGGCGACTCCGGCTGTTTCTTTGGTGTCATCATTGAAAATAAATTCGAAAGCAAAGCATTTAATGACTGATTCTGACAGCAAACACCCAGAGAAGCACTGACTTAGCCTTGGCATTGTTTCTTTTGGGGTCTCATTTGGAGAGGTTGTTTTTCTGTGGTTAGAACCATCGTTTTTTTCTCCCAAAATGATTTACAGGGGTACCTCAGCTTAGTGATAGTTAGCCCTTCCTGTCCCATGCCTTATTGTTTGGAGTTGGATTTCAACCACTACAGACTAGTAGCAGGAAACGGTACTTTGCCAAGTTTTGTTCATATCTTTGACGTCAACTTTATTTTTACAATATACTAGTAGGGTACACTTCCACTTAAGCAATTGTCAGGGAACTTGACAGCAGTTTGGCTGGACACATGGTTTCTTTCATCTGGACAACAGCCATTGCCTCCGCTCGGAGATCCGGGCAGTGTGGTCTTCCGAGATGCCCCCAACTTTCTACCCGTAAAGTTGACATTCCCAACATGTTTCATACAAGAAGGGAGGGGGGCACGCAGTTATAATTATGTCTATATATGTTCGCTCAACTGTAGTACCTCTGTACGTGAAATGCAACAATCAGCCTAGTTCAAAAGTAACTTACCTATACTTACCTAATGCATCCCAATGTATCCTGATGTGGTATACCCAATCAAACATCCCCAACTTTACCAGACATGGGTTCTGTATTGGCCAATTAGCCAGCAAAAATTGGGGAATGTTTATTGGGTTTGCCGTCTGCCACGCTAGTTGCGAGGATTCTTGCAACAAAGCAAGCTGGTGCTCCACAACTAGCTAAGTTTATATTTGTAACTCCAATAACAAGGGTGCATTGTCTTGTTACACACATGTATCCAACTAGCCAATGGTCGTTGTAAACCAGCAAACAGTTCCAGGAAACATCATGTTCACATAGTTTGAACTATTAATCAGGTTTTTGTTTCTCATATGTGTATATATATATATATATATATTTCCTAATAAAGAGCCAGAAATACCAAATTTATCCAAAGTTCATTCCGTTCCCTGCCAGGGATTCGGCGACGAGTACAGGGGCAGAAGCGCCGGAAGAGCAACCAGGTGGGTTTTTTTCTGTCGGAATTTAAGGGTGAAACCTTGGATTGTAAGGACAAACCAATTACATAGGAACATATTTTATGGTAAACCCATTGGTTTATTGTCAATAATATAGGTCCTATTGGAATAATATAATATATGTTCCTATTGGAATAATGGATTTTTATGGTAAACCCATTGGTTTATTGTCTTTACCCACATGTGGGAACATGTGTAAAGTTGCGCTTCGCAAGATGATGATAGACAAAAAACGGACTGTTGGTGATTTAAGCAATAAACGCGTTCCTGAAAATGTTCTTACTAATTACTATGGTAAGAAATGGTAAGAACCAGCTGTAGACAAAGGTACGTTCACAAGTCCAACGACAGTGCCCTGGAATTCCAATAGGGAAAGCTGGAAACGCCATGAGGATTTTTCACAATGCCTGTGGGATGAGATGGGGTACAGCAATCACCTTACTGGTGGTTTTATCTCCTCTGGTAAACGTTTACATAACTATGGAAAGAATCACAATTTTTTATGGGAAAACTCACTATAAATGGCAATTTTCAATAGCTATGTTAAAATTACCTGAGGGTAATTTCAGTTCTGATCTTACGGATGGAAGGGGGCTGTTTACTAGTTGCGATTGGTGGTTTCATTCCTAAAATATTTGTTTCCATCTAAAAATGGCATGATGCCGGTTGATATCACCTACCGCTTAATATTCTCTGGCTTTCACCGGCCAAGAGCATGTGTTTGTTTCACTGGTGAAACATGCCGGGTTGATCCAAATTGTTGCCCAAACTGTTTGGTGCCATGCGGCTAGAATGATGGTCCCCCATTTTTACTCACATAGTCTGACATATTTTTGTTAATTTGCTCGGTCGATGATTTGGTTTATTTGCCCAATGGGCAAATCCGAGTTACGGGAAGGTCAATCTTGCATAATATTGCCAACTTTGGGTAACATAGGTCCTAGGTCAAGGAAAAGGCCCATTCAGAATCGCATAATTGCCATGATAAAAATGAGGAATTTCCACCACTAAAAATGTCAAATTGCCATAGGGTATCCAACGTTGGCCTTGAAAGTGGATGCTTTGCTATGCAAACACATGGAAATTGACATTGTTTTCGCTTCACGATTTCTTGGTCACGTCCTCATTTATGTATGCAAAAATCTCAAATTTCCTCAAAACACCCGAAGTGAACAAAACTCAAAGGTTGGATTTGCCTAACATGTAGTTGTTGTGTGTAGTTCCCTGCATTTCAGTAGGGTTTCTACAGATGGTCCATGCGGCTGCCTTTTTTTCGCGCAACATGTGGCACCTCTAAAACCAGTCGTTAACCCTATCAATTCGATAATTATATAAAATGTTGTTTTGATTACTTCCAACTCCAGTCCATGATTGTAATGAGATGTTATCTGTGAACTATGTCACTATGTCAAAATAACATTTTGGAAATCATCTCTTGAAACCCAAGAATGGTGCGAGGTGAAGATCCACTGGAGACATTTATGGCATCTCGGAATGTGCTACTGCCAAAGTGTGGATAGTTTCATGGTGATTGACCGGAAAAATGAGCAGAACATGGGGAATTTACCATGACTTTTGCCATGCGTTTTTTTTGTACCAGTTGGCCAGTTGGATTGGTGATTTTACCGGATCTAATTGTACAGATTTAGATAACGATTTTCACCAGAATTGATACTCAGCTTTTATACTTTTGGTGTTTCCGGTTGAAAAGGTGATGGCACGGGCATCCTTAGGTCGCACTTGGCAGGCCAGGGATAGGTTGAGAATACCTGGCACGAGGTGGGGGCCCCAAACGATAGCTAAGTTGACTTTTAAAAATTGGCTAACTATAACTAGGGTTTTTGGAGGTTAGTTAGTTGATGGAGGTATAACCTACGTATATTTAGAATAGAGGGCTGCCCGGGGGCCCCACCCTGCATGATTCCTTCTTGCTGCATACTATGCAGATGGGCAAGTTGGCTGGAGCTGTTTGGAGCCACCCTTGGTGATGTTGAACCTGAAGCCCATGGATGAAGATGAAACATTGTCATGTTCCTTTCAGACATGTTTGTTCGATTCTTGAGAGTCTTTGCGGAATTGTGGGGGTGTATATTCCCAAGTACTACTTGTTGGCAATTTGACATAGATGTGATCATCAAACTAAATGTCATGTTTCATCTGTTAGAGAGGATAAGCACATCATCCATTACAAGTAATACATAATCAATGTAAATCCACATAAATCCATATGATATATATATATACACATTTATACATACATACGGTAAATCCAAATAAATTCATAAAAAAATCCATATTGATCCATAGAAATCCATATAAATCCGTATAAATCCCATTCATCCATATATTCACAGCAGGGTGCGCCATATTATCCCAGTCCCAAAAACGAAAACGAGGCGTCCATAGATGCGGAGCTGCAGGGGCAGAAGAAGCGGAAGATCCATGGCCGATCCCACCATATCATCCTGATTTCACCATATGAAATGGTATATATTGGGATATCATTCATGGGTAGGTAATTCGTTGGGAGCATCAACTGGTTACCTGGTTGGTGATTAATTAGTGATGTTCATATGATGTAACCGAATCTAAATTGGGGGATATGAGGGGGATATAGTTTGGGATGTAATCAATCATGCCGGCTAGCAATTTTTCGGTTGAAGCCGCCAACCTCAGAGATTGATCCCCATAATCGCCTCTTTGTTTCAACCAGAATGTTACGTGATTGGGGTTAAAAAAACAGGTTTGCTTGCGGTTTTGCCTAGAAAATCTGAAAGTTGTTTGGGTTTATGGGCCACCAATTTCCCATCAGTCTTGAGGAATCTTGCCGTCTCATCGTATTTTCCAAATTGATTGCAAAGGCTGAATTCTGAATAGAGAGAAAACATATGTCAGTGATCAGTGATCAAGCAAGCCCGACTGATTTGTTCAAGAAGGCTTCTGAAAGTGATCTTCCCCATAAGTCACTGCAACGCAAAGGTTTGTATTCCTAGAATTTCCTAGACATCCTGGGTTGACGTTTCAGAGTTCGTCCTTTTACAGCTGCAACTGAGGAAGCATCGATGAAGCACACCTGGACGAATTCTTGGTCAAGAACTGCAGGAAGTCGCCGTGGAATCAAGGCAGGCCAGGGATGCTGGTGGCTTTCCACGTTGCAACGCGTTGATCCAAGTAGTCCCTTCTTGTTGTTGGTCTTTAGTCCCTGTGTTCCATGATGTTCCATGTTTTTGGGTTGGCAAATTGATTTGCGTTTCGGTGATAATGCCATTCCTTTTGAATCACGCCCCCCATGTGGCAAAGCATGTTGTTCTCTTTTGGTGAATTCGAGTCTTTCTTAGTCCCAACGCGAAATCTTTGAGCACTTTGGTTCTTTCAGAATACTATAGAATACTGTAAAACAAATCGAACGCTGCCGTTGCTCTCCTCTTGACAAAGTGTCAACTGGTTCCATGCCATCCGGCGCGCTCTTGCGGTTTCTTCCAGGACACCGACACCCTCATCCCGCTGAAAGTTCATTCGGTGACGGTTACGGTTTGTCATGATGTCCAGGAAGATCGCGCCGATTGAAATGAGGATGGTTGGTCACGAGTTCAGGAGGAATTTCCAAAGACTCATGCTGTGTTTTTTGGATTGAATAGGGATTATACATGATTATACAGATAAAATTAGATGTGTATAATACATATTTCTTTTAATTATATCTGTATGATTTATATATATCTTATATATATTTATACACATCATAATATGATAATATAGTATCACATTATATATATATATATATATTATCTCTCTCTCTCTTTCTCTCTTTCTCTCTTTCTCTCTCTCTCTCTCTTCACTGAATTGAAATGGTAAGTTCACTGATGCCCCCCACTGGGATTACCAATCAGATGCTGGTGCTTCAAGCCAATTACAACTAAGAACGTCATACGCCAAGTACTCAGGATCCCCCAAGTACAAACAGTGGCGGATCTTCCAGACAGTACATCCACGTAGTCCAGCTCCAGACCTTTCTCTGACCATTGGGCCGGCGAAAACCAAAGACGGCACGTGGCCCTTGACGCGTCCCTAAGGATGCGTCCAGTAAGAAGTGTGTGTGTGTGTGTTATCCCTTCCCAAAAAGAACAGGCTTCCCAAATGAAAGTCTAGGTGAGTATTGAATCTGTTCAATCGTTGCCAATGATGTCCCATGGCATTCACATTTGTGATCCACTACAGTGCCCTGAGTGGCTTGGCCAATCGTGGCACCTGAAGACAAAAGTTTGTCCGAGTTTAGTGCTTGCGCCGCTTGCTGCTTGGAGAATCATTCCACCTAGCAACTTGTTAGGAACCAATCCCATCCCCTTATATTGATTTATATATATATAAATACATTATATTATTTTCTCCAATTCTATGGTCCCAACATGTCCCAACTGTGTGGTTTCATTTTCCATCCAAAGGGCCTATGTAGATTACGTAGGGGGTGTTGAATATGAATGGGTAGCCCATGACCTCGATAGAAAATCCGCCATGACAGCCGGCGGTGGCTCTTAGATGGCATCCTTGAACTGGTTGGTGGTTTGGAACATTGATTTAGTATGGGATAATGATGGTTAATGATGGTTAATAATGTTTAATAATGGTTAATAATCACTGTTTGGTGGTTTGGAACCATGGAATTTTATGACTTTCCATATGTGAATTTCATCATCCCAGCTGACGAACTCATATTTTTCAGAGGGATTGAAACCACCAACCAGTTGAAGATTGGAACAACTGGCTTTGACAAATGGCTTTGGAAACGTTCCCAGAGACGACCCCCCAGAAAAATATCAAAATATGTGCGGCCCTGAAACCAAATTTGTGACAGCCTGAAGTTGAACAAAATGCCAAAAGATAGGAAGAGATCTGAAGATGTCCCAAATTTGATATGAGAACTGCAGTAGCAACAAGAGGAAAAACATGGGATAGAGGATGAGGATTGACCTCAGATGAACTCCCCAAACGAATTTTATCCCTTAAAAAGGTGTGTGGTTCTTAACCATCATTAAACCTCGTGAATGAGCCAACATCAAACCCCTTGGGGGAGTTGCCGGCATATTGGGGGAAGCACCTCTTGCACTCCCCTGGTTGGATCTGGGCATGGCTCGAAGTGACATCATGACATTCTCCCAACTATATATATATATATATGGGTTCAATGCTATAGCACCCCGAAAAAGATGGAAAAGTCAAATCGGAATCTAAAAGAATATCAGTGATGAATCATGTCCATTCCTTTTTTTTTGGGTCTCTACGTTCCTAGTTCCTACGCATGTTTCTTATTTTTTTTCGGACCACTCGTCATTGATTCCACTAAGGTGCTTCCGCGCTTGTTGGCACCCGCCTTGTTCGGGAACTTATTCACAGTCTCCGGTGCTGCGAATGGAGTTTCCCAACTGATAAGGTACTGTAAGGAAATTTTGAACAAGTTATAGTAAATGACCTTGACCTCTACCTGTGGATAGTGTGTAACAACAGTTTTAGTTGACATCGGCGATGGTTTACTCTTGGGTTTTTCACTTGGGTGGATCATTATGTTTGCAATTTCATGCGTCAAGTGTCGGTTTATAGCACTCACAACAAATAGTGATTTCTCCTGCAAAGAGTGAGGTCAGAAAGGCGTTTCCTCACCTCGGGAAAGGGATTTATTCTGCAAGAAATTACACGGTGTGCCCAGTCACAAGACTTTGAGCCGTGTTGAAGAGTTTGGTTTGGCCCAACTTTTATTTGTAGCCGTGCCATGTGACCGATGATTCACGTACATGTAGCCTTGCCCAGTGGCCATAGTGAGAAACTGTCAGTAATGAAGTCTTCCAAAGTCGAGGACTTAAGGACCCTTGCTGAGAAATCCCTTGGCCGGCGCTTCTTGACACTGGTCACGGCTGGCGGGCGTGTCCTAAATCCGATCGAATCCCTGGAAAGTGCAGGGCTTCAGGATGAGGACCAGCTGAGTGCCCTTTCACAAAAAGTAGGTTTGATGGCGACTTCAGGAGCCTTTGCCTTGTGGTGTCCTGGGGATGAGAGGATTCTCACCTGGGGCGATCAGGAGTTGGGTGGTGATAGCTCTGAGGTCAGAGATCAGCTCATTGGTGTACAACAGCTTCAGGCCACACGTGGTGCATTTGCTGCTCAACTGGCAGATGGATCTGTTGTAACCTGGGGTGACCCCGATGATGGCGGTGACAGCTCGCATGTTCAAGCTCAGCTTGTAAGGGTGCAGAGTGTGATGGCTACGGACCATGCATTTGCGGCGCTCTTGGCAGATGGATCAGTCGTGACCTGGGGCGATCCAGTGTCTGGTGGTGATAGCTCACACATAGAAGATCAGCTAAGGAATGTGCAACACGTTGAGGCCACAAAGGCTGCCTTTGCTGCCCTACTGGCCACTGGATCACTGGTTACATGGGGTCATCCCTGTCGAGGTGGTGACAGCTCCGAAGTCAGAGATCAGCTTAGGAGCATTAAAGAAGTGAAGGCCATCCATGGTGGATTTGCTGCCAGCCTTGTGGATGGATCCAGTGTTACTTGGGGTCTTTTCAAGACGTGGCAGCGGATCTCCGCGACAAGGCTTGCCTTTGCTTCGATCCTGCCAGATGGATCGGTGGCGACCGTGGGAGATCCAGCGGCTGGTGGCGACAGCTCCGAAGTCGTGGATCAGCTCAAAAATGTGCACCAGGTACAGGCCACTGATGGTGCATTTGCTGCAATTCTCTCAGATGCATCAGTTGTCAGCTGGGGGAACCCATCTCTTGGTGGCAACAGCTCTCAGGTCAGAGATCAGCTTATTGGTGTACAACAGCTTCAGGCCACACGTGGTGCATTTGCTGCTCAACTGGCAGATGGATCTGTTGTAACCTGGGGTGACCCCGATGATGGCGGTGACAGCTCGCATGTTCAAGCTCAGCTTGTAAGGGTGCAGAGTGTGATGGCTACGGACCATGCATTTGCGGCGCTCTTGGCAGATGGATCAGTCGTGACCTGGGGCGATCCAGTGTCTGGTGGTGATAGCTCACGGATTCGATGATCAAGCCACATACCTCCTCTTTGCACATTGGGTGTGTCTACCAATGGAGGATTTTACACCCAAGATGCCAAATTTAGGTGCCCAGGGAAATGGTGATGAACGCTTAAATTTAGTGGATTTTTTTCTTCAAATTCTCAGACAAACTCGTTCGCTATATTTGCTTCTTTCTATTTGACCTTCCATGTTGGTTTACCTGAGCTGCAGCGGGTGGCTCGATATCTTCACAGTATGGTGCAGGCGGAAAATGGTCCAGATGACTTTTTGCCCCAAATTCAGTGTCTTCAATGTCACCGGATTAAACTTGAAACACAAAGAACAAATCCTACAAAGCCTATACCATTTTTCGACATTGGATGACTTTGGTTTATATTTGACTATTCAAACCATCAGTATGGGCGATCATACGCCTGTTGGTTTGCTCTTCTGAGGCCAGAAGAGCAAGATGCCTTTTCAGAGGCCCAGCCTGACGGGCCACAGGTTGGCCCTTTTGGGGTAGCTGAACATAGCAATGTCATGCAATGTCTGGGAAAATTGGAGGAATTACTTTGGACATATTTGTTCCTGTTGGTGAAAAATAATGAAAAATAGAGCTATCAGGCGGATCATGCCAGGATGTGTTAAGTCCTCCGTTTTTGTGATTGAATACCCATTTGAGCGAGCGGCTTCACCGGTAAGCTCCCCATTGGTGACGGTACATGCCTTATTTGGGAGATATTTTGGGGGTTAAATTCCCAATGTTAATATATGTTGATGTTCGATCGTTTCGATCGCTGTGCCAGTAAACTGTCCGTTTCTGAGTGAGTACCCTCCGGTAATCTAGACTGACACAGGTCAATTTCCTTTTACCAATTGTTTTTGGCAATCTATCGAGTGTTTCAACCATCATTCGCAACCAATTAGATCAATTAGGTGTGCGACCCCTAGTTGGGCGTGTGGCTTACCATCGGATGATACTCTGATATACCCCTATTAGGGATGATTTATATACAAGGACCCTTTGGATCATGGATGGTTGCACCACATATTGGATAACCATCCATAATTGGATGAACAATTATCCCTAACAGGGGTATATCATATGACATCAATCCAGTACGGAAGATTAGGGATGATCATATCCTGATTACGGAGATCATTTATGCACACCCCTATTGGTTTTTACTGATCTACATTCTCAATCAAAGTTAGTGGTATCTAAAATACAGAACAAATCCACAAGAGAAAGTATCTACATGAATTACTAGTAAATATCTGGTGACTACATATATTATCCATTATTATCCGATGATTATCCCCTATTATTAAGATGATTTCATAGATCTATAGAAATTCTTAATCCCCCAAGAGAACCAACAGTTCCGCCCTGTGCTATCTACCCCAGGCCATGCGCTTTGATGCCGCCAGCGCCATGCTCTATCTTTCAACTCCGCAGGTGGGGTGACTGACTCTTCCCCGGGTGGCGAACTGCGACCTCAGTGACCCCATGATGTGGGGTTGAACATGTTGGGACAAAAGGAGATCATAGAAACTCCAGAATTCAATGGGGCTTGCTCCAACCTAAATGTATGTAAATCATGAAAACAAGGGCGGAATGAGTGTTGCCTCTTGGTGTACCCAGTTTACCATCCGTTTCTGGGGTGTGGGGAGCATCCCTGCCGATGTTTGATTACTTTACAGTATTTCATTGTTTATGCCATTATTCAAGCTGCAACTTTGGGGTATGAACCCCATGTTATTTAGACAAACGCCGTGTTCTAAGACCCAGTTGTGAATTTCCTAGTGGATCTATTGGGGATCTATATGCGCCATTCCTTGGCAAATTCAGAATAAATGGCGTTTGGGATTTAAAGCTCACTCACCGGCCAAGCCTTGTAGATCATGGGTGAATGATGGTTAGTCAGGCAAACCGCCTCAATATAGGTCAGAGGTCTCTTTCCAAAGTATCAAACGTTTGTTTAAAATGCGGGTATTTGGATGCATTTTGAGGATCATCAATACGCAGCATTCGTCGAACAATCATTGCTCTTAGGGATGTCATAGTAGTTTGGAAATATGTTTTTTGGGGGTTCCCTAAAGATCGGGGCTTCTTAATCCGGCATTGACATTACTTGGCAAGTTCCGCAGTTGAGGATACCCGGATACCCCATTCAAAACCTGTATATATATATATATATATATATATATATAGAGAGAGGTTATACTGAGTTATACTGTACGTATACTTAGAACTTAGAACAATATTTCGGGATGACGATTGACATCTTTTATAAGCAGCTTGTTGTTTCGATCCTTTCTTTGTTCCAACAAACAAGCCATTGGATATTCCTATGGAGTTGGCGTTGGTTCTGGGTTGATGGATGCCGGAGTGCAGGCATGCCAAGAATTACAAACAATAGATCTACAATAAGTGCACATATCATAAGTTGAACATAAAGTTGAGAAAAAAAGATAAAGGATTGGGTTCAACAGAAATAGATTAATAAAAAATTAGGGATTCTTCAACTACACCCTGGCAATACCCCCTACATCCCTAATCTCAGGATGTATTTCAGAATTTCCTAGATACTTCCTAGAGAAATTAATGCCCCCATCCTCCTAACAAACCACCCCGCAGCCATAGGAGGTCACAGAGCTTTTATCGCTGCGGGCAGGAGCACGACGGGCCGGGCCAAAATGGATGGACGGTTGGGGATTTGATGATTTTTAAAGTTATTTTTCTGTGAAAACATGTGAAAACTGAAAACTAGGTGCTGTAAGAAAGCTTGTGCAGCTCAGTGTTGGTGATTTTGGATGACGGTATCTCTGAACATTTGATTTTTTTAGCTGGAATTGACCAGCTACAGTAACTTATGCAAGTGATAAGTTATGCTAAATTGGTGATTTTTAATCTATGTCCCAGTCCCAGGACATATCGGGTGTTCTTAACTGATGCAAAACATTATATGCCGTGCAATGGCAAATTGATGGAAGGGATGCGTGTCATTATCAGAAGTTTCATATGCGCCAGAAGCTGGGATGATTCCACAAATGACTAGTTGATACTAATTACATTACAAAGGATCGATGGGACTTGCACCAGACATCGTTCAGGAGTATCAGTGTTGGATAGTTGTCCTCATCACCAGCAGGGACAACATATGTTCATGTTTACCCTCTGGTAATTTAACATAGCTATGGAAAATCACAATTTTTCATGGGTAAATCCACTATAAATGGCCATTTTCAATAGCTATGTTGAATTACCAGAGGGTATATTTCATATTTTCATATTTTCTTTCCGAAATTCCCAGGCCAAGCAGCCCCTTCTCCGGCACCGTGTCCAGGACCGGCGCCGGGATTTGTACATAGAAACGCTTTGGAACTGGTCGTTTTGACCAGACAGGCGTGTGCGCAGGGCAGGATGTCGGAATATGTCGGAATACTAAAAGATGTCACGGTTGATAAGCATGTTTTTCGGCAGGGAAAAACATGTTTGTTTTGTTTTTGATTTTTTGGGAGTTCCCAAATCAACCAACATTTAGGTGATTGTTTTGAACATGTTCAGTGGTGAACGGAGGGCTTGGGGTTCGGAGCTATTGGTTGTGTCCATGCCCTCTGATAATAGCTACGGAATATCTGATCCATTTATAGTTGATCTACCTATAAAACACGGTGGCTTTCCATACAGTTATGTTCGTTTACTAGAGGCTATTCCGTATAAAGATGGGCAGCCAGCCAGTTGGAGCTATTTGTCAACGTTACCTGGGATGGTGCAGCATGGGATGGCCACCAGTTAGAAGTTGGAAGTTGCTGCAAATAGCTATGTTAACTTTGGTTTATGTGGATTAATCGTCGGTTTTTCATGCCAACATGAGACATTTACGGACCTTTACCATCAACATCCATCAACAATTGGGGGGATATCGTGGGATATATACCGGTTTATGGGAAAAAATGCCCTGTAGCGATACTCATGGCTGTGACAGGAATATCCACGTTTGTCATATCTTCAAATTGAAGTTTTAGTGGGACAATCAGTGGGATATTTCCCATTGCCACGTTTGATGACACCGGAGAGTATCACTATACCCATGACGGATCCATGGTGCTGCCATATATGGTAACATGGATCCCATCAATATACCCCAGTCATGTTAGCATAAATATACCAGCACCAGCCGGATCCTATAACGATATAGTTATCCTCCCCATTTCGTTTGTGTTTTTCCCAATAAGGCAAGGCTTGGCATCTATTTCGGCCACGGGGATTTCCCAGCTTGCCATGGTGGGATGATGTCCGACATTGTTGAATACATCCTCCATGGGGGACCGTCTAGATAGATACGTTGCTTTGTAACTATAGGTTACCTATGGTTCATGGCGGAAGCTGTCTATAGTCTTTATATTCTACAGATTCTATCTATAGTTAGACAACTAAAAGAATGTAGTTAACCCAAGATGAATCATAGTTAACTGCAAAATCTTAGTTACCATAAGGGGGGTGAACTACCATAAATCATAGTTCACCTAAGACAACTAAACCATCAAATCGTAGTTCACCCCCATAGGGCCGTCCTGCAGGCGCCGACCCCTGTCAGCTCGCCCAAGGAGGACGGGACGTGACGGGACGTGAGACCGCCGTGATGTACAGCAAACCCCAGATAGAGAACAATATTGTTTTTTGATGGGATTTTTCAATGGTTTTTAATGGGATCTTAATGGGATTTTTTGATGGGATTTACGGATTTATCAACAAAGATAGTTATGTTTCGAATACGATGAGGGAGAAAAGTTGCTGCACATCTTTGCAGCGTAAGATCAATGGGATGGCTGTTCAACAGCCCTAGGGATTAAACAAAGGGGCATAAGTTGGCTGTAGCTATGATACACCATGAAACAAGTTGGGTATAGTGTAACTCATTACACAACAGATTGAAGTTAAATATGCGGTACTATGTTACTATATGGGTTTGACAATAAGATGGCGATGAATCATCATGTTCTCTAGCTGGCCATTTGGCGCTATTAACATGGTCTTGTTCAACTCGATGGCGCTTTCAACACGCTTCAACCACAAGTTTTCCTTCACCATCCTCCCTGGAGCCAGGTCCCCACCGAGCCCGAACCCAGCTCTTCACCGCCTTTAACGGGTTGGACACGTCTCACCGTGCGGGTCGCCAAAGGTGGAAAAGTCAGAAGAAATATAGGACATTTGATGGTGATTTGCTGGGTACTTTTTGATATTTCATGAAAAACAACATGGTTTTTAGGATGGTATTTCATGTTCATTGTATTTGATGGTTATTTGATGCGGAATTTATGGAACACACCTCCACGGCCTGTGGATTGGTGGGGTTATAATAGGATATTGTGGTGATATCGGAGTAATATGGGACATTTGTTTGATATTGCAAGTGGCGCCACGGTTTTCTAACTAAGATGCTGGGCACACAACTCGAGGCTTATTTTGTTGGGTCAGTGGCAGATTAGATATATCGAACGATTTGCGTAATGGAGGTATAAAGGAGCAACCATTTCACCGCGTCGTATCCAAGAACGCTTTATTTTGATGGCTCTCAATACCCACCAGTTTATTTGGTTCTCGTAAAAAAGAGTTAAATAAATGATTATATATAAATATAGTATATTTAATATATATATATATACATGTATATATATGTGTGTGTGATATTATATATAAATTATATAATATATTATATTTTGTTTCTCGGATTTGCTGATTTACACGTTAACTGAACCACTTGGGGCGGTGAACCAAGCAAAACAAGGTGCCAAAGAATAGACATGGGTAGGTTGTCCCTGGAGTCCGTGCAGCTAGAATCTCAGCAAGGATTGTAGGGGTATGGGTGCGTGGGGTAAGTCATCTATACATTAGGTTTAAATGGGCCTATGTGTTGGTCCTATAAGTCTATCATAGTTATCTAAATGTTAGCCAATATGGACCTATACAATAGGCAGTTGCTTCCAACATGTTCAATACTTGTCTAGCTTCCATCCCTACTGTCCAGGGCCGAACTTATTCAACCACCAATCCCAGAATTAAATGAAGAGAACATCTTCATTTCCCTCCTACCACCATTGTTGGAAAAAAATAGCTGTCCTGCATGTGTCCCATTTCAACTCAAAGCAAACCTAAGTTGCCAAGATTTGAATGGGATTTGAATGGGATCTTCATGTGATTCTGGTTGGTGGTTTGGAACATTTTTTATTTTCCATGATACTTGTATATGGGATAATTCTTCCCATTGACAAACTCCATCATTTTTCCAGATGGTTATTGCACCACCAACCATCATAGAATTGGATGATGGGAAAATTTACAGGAAACCCCTATATTTGATGGTAAAAACAATGGTTTCCTGTAGATGTTCCCTTAAACCAATCCATTGAAACCAGGATTTAATGACCCACCATAGCCACCTTGATTTGCTGAGTCGACGCCTGCTGCGCCTGAGGCCTTACGCCCTAGTGCTCCCCCTCCAGGCTCCAGAGCGAATTTTCTCGGTTCGGGCTTGGGGAAAAACGCCGGGCGGTTTGATGGGAGGATCTTTTACATGGGATTTCATGAGATATATACATATATATATATAATATATTGGTAAATCCTTATTTGATTGGTGGTTTGGAACTATAATATCTAAATATGTCTATTATGGATTATGGATTATGGATTATCACCTATAGATATATAAGAATCTGATTGGTGGTTTGGAACATTTTTACGTTAGTTTTCATATATTGGGAATACTCATCCCAACTGACTTTCATATTTTTCAGAGGGGTTGAAACCACCAACCAGTATATATATATATGTTATATATATATATATAGAATACATACCTGAGAAAACTACAACGACTTCACATCGATGAGACGGTGACTCTTGTTTCCTTCCCACTGGGATCAAGTACCCTGCGATTTGATTCTGAGAAGTTTTCTGTCCCCCTGATTTGGTATTGTGCTTGGGAAGGCTCAAGCCTATATATGTACGATTACTGTATGTATGCATTTATATGCATGTGTATGGATGATATACGTATATATACATCGCATATATTCCATATTATGCAGCGGCGTTTGTTGTATGTGCCGTGCTAGAAGACGCTTTAATAATCCAGCACAAACATGTTGTGTTTCCATTACTGAGGTATCCACGTTTAGGCGGGTGTCTTTCCTGGTTCAATCATCAACATGGGATGATAAACTTCAATTTCTTTGAGAGAATGGGCCTTTTTTTAAGCCACCAGAAGCGGATGAAACTTGGCTCCTGGTTCCTGGTTGGTGGTTTCTGTATCAGTTTGGCAATCTCCCTATGAAGCCACCATCGGAAGGGGATGATGTCGCAAAAAAAACAGGAAATTTGCATTTGCCACCGAGTGCTGAGCCGAACACTGAGCCAAAGGCGGGTACCAAGTCAGCTTGGTGTTTTTTGCAGAGTTCATTGGGAATTTGAGTTGTTGGATGTTTGGAGAATCTAGTAACACCGATAAGATAGAAACGTCAATTCCGACTAAGATAGTGATAAGTTATATATATATATATGTGTCTATCATTTTTTTTGGTTGCTCTAATCATTTCTTGAAGTTGATTCAATACCAGTATGAGCCTGGCCGTTGTCAAGAGATGTCAAGCCTTCCAACCCTGCCCATGAGGATTTGCCAGGAACAGGTTGGCATCACATTTTCGTTGTTTGGGGGGAACCTCTGGTAAACTAGCAGTTTGATCTTGAAAATTGCCATTTATAGTTGATTTACCACCAAAAAATGCTGATTTTAAATAGTTATATATTTATGTTAGTTTACCAGAGAGTAATGATCTTTTTAATCTTTTTTTAGTACTGATACCCTTTGGTAATCAAACATGTCATGGTAAAATCCCTTGTGCATGGAGGTTTTAATGTGCAATTCATTTGTAAATGGTGGATTAGGATTTTCCATTGCCACCTTCCATTACCGGAGGTAGTATATTCGATTCATCATTCATTATTACCACATTACTAGAGGGTATATACTGTAATTATTCATCACTAATTATATATTGCCATTGTTATCCACCATTAACCATTATTAACCACCATTTAATCACCATTCACCATTATTAGCCATCATTCTCCACTGTTATCCACCATTAACCGTCGTTAAGCATCATCCAGGAGCCGGAGTCAAGCCCGGATGCATCACTTGGAGGCCGGTGGCGCATCACTGGGACGGTGAACCCTCTGGTGAACATACCAAAAACGATGGAAAACCACCACTTTTGATGGGTAAATCAATGATTTCTGTGGCCATGTTCAATAGCAAACAGAAACAAATTACCAGAGGCTACCTGTTGGTTAGATGATAGCTGGTGGATTGTGAAAGTTAGCTTATCTGATGATTAAATGAGAAAAAAAAAGTTTGGTTAGATGATAAAGTGATGATGATAAACGGTGAGATATCTTGATGGCCAGGTGTGGCCATCGGTATTTCACCATGAAGATGGCATGATATTTCAGTGGATACCCGGATTAGTTTTTTTTGTAGATGACAAAAACCTTGATGATTTACGGATATTGAGCATGATTATCACGAAAGGTAGCTCCAGAGGGGCTACCTTGAGTTTTACTTTACGAAGTAAAGGGGAGGGCGGCCAGCCCCGTTACCTGATTCTTCAGGAGATTGCTAGTCATTTTAGTACCCCCCCCCCTCCACACCTCCCACGCACCCTAAGAGCAGACTCAAAACATTGTAATTTACAGTATTTTTGTTCTTTTCGGATCAAGAAACCACATTTTGCTACATGGTGAAACCTCCGTAAATACCAGTGTTTTTGCTAGGTGCTGGCCAAAAAACACTGTAAATACCGTGCTTTTTACTACCAGAGGCAAAAAACATCGTAAATACCGTGGTTTTGGGCTTCCGACCCGCCAAAAACATCGGTATTTACGGTGTTTTTTGCTCCGAGAGTTGCAAAAACACACGAAAACACCACCGATTTGACGATTTTCGGCCACGACGGAACCGAGCAAAAACGCTGCAGAGGTAACACCAACACCAACAACAACAACAACACCAACAGCACCAGCAACAACAACGACGACAACAACAACAACAACAACAACAACAGCAACAGCAACAGCAACAGCAACAACAACAACAACAACAACACGAACACGAACAATACCAACACCAACAACACGACCAACAACACCAACACCACCAACAAACCCAACCACACCAACAACGCTAACAACACTAACAACACCAGAAACACTACCACCACCAACAACACCAACAACACCAATACCAACAACACCAACAACACCAACACCACCAGCACCACCAACACCACCAACACCACACCACCAACCCCAACCACATCGCCGAAGCCTTTCAGTCGCTTTTACCAGACTCCCCTTCATATTTTTGGAAAGAATTACCAGACTTCACTTTATGTATTTTTCCCTCCCCTCTCCCCTTCATTTTTTCTTCGGTTCCTTTCTTGCTTACCTACCTTTCGTGTTCCCCCTCTCAAGTTTTCGATAGGTACCGTTTTTATAACCAGATGGTATGTGAAAAATCCCCACTTGATCTGGTGCCTTTTTTTTTTTTAAAGTTGGTCCATAACTAGGCTAGGCTAATTATGGCTACGGTTTATGGTAGATATATCTATAGTGAATGGGGGTTACAAACCAGCTTGATCCAGCTTGTACAGGGGCAAAACATTGTATTGATCCCTACTTACACGATGAAGAAAATGTGAAATCAGTGATGAAAAAACTGTCTCACATTTTTTCAGATGGTTTCCCATGGAAAACCACGATTTATAGGGGATTCCCATTGCTATGTTTTTGACATCGGAAGTCTAGAATGACCTCACAAAGTGGAAGATCCACATTGACGGATTGTGTCGATGGGTTGGTACCACCACCTTTCGATGCTGGTTGTAGACTATGGGTCCTTCATCAAATAAATTTAGAGCTTCATTTCACTCTTGTCAGTATCGCATTCTTGTTGGCTACCCGCATCCAATCGTGTGTCCTTGTACTATGCCAAGGTTTATCCCACATTGCCCATTCCCCAAGGCTCCAGCATAGAGTGTCCAGGTGCCAGTTTTTTTGTTCCCGGAAACAGATGCCAGGGTCCAGTTCCATCAAGTCACCAAATTTGGAAAACTCTGGGAACCCAAAAAATCCCCAAATTTGGAACGTGAAGTTCCCCGGGATTTTCCTTTTAAAGACAGCCGGGCAGGTGGTGAGTTTACCCAGAAACGATGCCCCACCGAAGTGGAGATGCAGAGGGCCCAGTTGTGTGATTGCGTTTGGAAAAAGCGAGGTGCAATACCATCCAATCCTGGGGAATTCCATGAATGTTTGGGCCGATTTGAATACCTCCAGTAATTATACGGGTCGCAGATCGCTTTGGGCTTTGAGACCTGGGAAGTTAGAGGCTCATGGCCTCTGTGTGGCTCAAAACAACCATCAACGATTCCAAATTATTACTAGAAATGTTCATAGAATAGCAGCTATCCGACTATCCAAAATCGGAGGTTTATTCTTGGGAAAAAAACATGTTACATCCAAATGCGGTTTGGCGATTCTTTCAGCGTTTCACGGCTGGGCGTGTGACACGTGATGGTTGATAAGTGGGGTCTCTAATGCATCCCGGTGTCATCCGGTGTCCCATGATATCTTTACTTCAATAGTTTCTAATAGCTTTCAGATGCAACACAAGGGATTGTAGTATTTTTTAATATACGTTAATGTATCTTTAATGTATTTTATGCAACAGTTGCAACATCTATAAGATCATCAAATCCTGAAAGGCCGGCACTCTGCCCCATTTCCCTAGGTCGGTGACTGGAGACGTGCAGTTCCAGATTGACATCTCGAAGATTTGCTTTTTGAAGGAGCAGGCCTGGCTGCGCATGGGAGGGGTCGCCTGGGTCAATTTTTGTGAGAAAAATCTGCGATTTCAAGTTTCGGCCTTGGGAGATTGTTAGGAGTAAAATTAGTAATTTGTTGCAACTTTTGGTTTTTTCATGAAGATGGGGATGAAGGGTCATGTCATGTTTAAAGATCTTGCTTGGATGGGTTGGGGGGTGTGGATGGTGACTTGGGGAATATTGGGGAATCATTGGGACAGAAGTTCCCTCTGCTGCAATATACCTTGAGGATCCTTGAGGATCTTAGTTCTTAAGTACTATTACCTCAACAACATGTGCATTCGCATTTATAGAATTTTATAGATATTCTGTATTATTCCGTCACTGTTAAACACATAAATCATATGTTTTTTCATGTGTATCGCTATGAAAACTGCTCACGTTTACATCATATCGCGGGATGCTCGCCCAGCTACCGCAGCATCCCTGGCTCCCGCAGTGACACGCAGCATTTCCGCGACGACATGGCCGCTCCCGTGCCTCAAGTGATGGACCAGAAGGCGGGGATTTTAGGCTGGAAGCTGGAGATGACTTTTCGAGAAAGTCAGTGAGTGCGTCATGAGACCGTCATCTCTTTGTATGTGTATATATATATGATTTGTTTATATATATATATAAATATATATATAGCTCTTATATATATATAATATATGTGTGCGTGTTTTTTGATTTGAATATCTAAATACATTATATGTATACTTTATATACTGCATTAAATATTGTATCCTTTCGATGGATCCAAACACTTCCCGAGAAGAGTACTGCTAACCCCCACATCATAGCCCAAATGCTCCCTCAGAAGGTACGGCTGGATCCATAGGGATTATTCATGCTTGATTGTCCACAATGTGGGTGTATAAGTCCAAACTCCGACAGTCTGGCGAACACTGTGAACACATGTGAACACCAATATCATCCAATATCCCCATGTCGGGGTCAAGCACTTTTAGCCACCATTATTCAACTGATGGTTTCCCCCAAAAAAGATAAATGTAAACAGGTAAATCCAGTCAAATCCCCATTTCAAACAGTATATAAAATCATCACCTCTTTGTCAGGTAGATACCGAGATCGCGGCACCAGCGCAAGTGTCAATGATGCTTGGTGCGTCGGGACAATGAAACAGATACATACACATGTATCCATATATATATATATATATTTGATTATATATATATATTTGATTATATATATATTATGTGTTAGAAGGATTATGTACCTGTAAAAAAATGTGTATATATATTATGTATAGAGAGAGATACTGTGCATGTTCCTGTTCTATGAACAATGCTGTATATATAGTGGGAAAAGCAGGCACAGAATTGCTGGATAATTTCTTCATGGGAACGTAGGGTCGTCTCCCCAATCGTCTGTCCGCATGATTGATGCATCATACTTGGGTGAAAACGTGGAACCATAATGGGGTTAACACGCTTAGCTATTTAGATCCATTTGGCATAATAGGATTAACACAGCTAACTATGAGCAACAAGCCCCCAGTGACGTGGCCACAAAATGGTTGAAGATATTTGAAGAGTTCTTGGGTCCCCTTTCTTCCTGGAAAATCATCCATTTATAGGTGCTGTGTGTCCATTTCAATGCCCATATGGTCAGGGAATTCCCTAGCCATAAACATCCATTTTAACCTCCATCTCTAGAGAGTTTCCCTAGCTATAAATCCCTATTCAGTGGATTTTCCCATATTTTCCAATGGTTTTCCCATGATTTTTCCCATTAAAGGTTCCATATGTTCATAGAATTGAAGGGGAATTCACAGGAAACCCCTATATGTGGTAGTAAAAAAACATGGTTTTCCCATGATTTTCCCATTAAAAGCTCCATATTGTTGCTGGATTTCCAGCCACCCTTAACCCAAGGATGGAGGACCCACAGCATGGTGCCTACAGTCGTTATGAGTCCTTGGGCCAAGCGCACCCATCGTCCGGAGATTCCATGTTCCCTAGCGGCAGCACAGGTTGACCGGGGTCCTCTAGGGTGTACTTTATGTATGGTTATTTGGCTTTATAACTAGAGCATATTTGGGTTTGTAAATGCTTACTTGGGTCATTATGTACTTTCCTCTACCATTTAGATATTTGTATGTTAATACGGTTATTGATGGATATTATATTGGTATTAAGAATGAGGATTTGACCAACTAACATCCATTCATGGTTATTAATGGTTTTTCAACCAACGAACATTGTGAGTTTTAATGGAATTCAATGGAATATGGTGTATTTTACCACATTTTCTTATGATTAAGACAAAGATCATTTGGATTCTTACCCAAGAAAAACCTACCATTTGGGGATGATACTTTCCCACCCAGTTGTGGCTATGGCTAACACCCAGTTATGTATAATTAACATTAACGGTTATTGTATAATGGATATTGGTATGGTTCTTAACCTGGAAAAACGGGGATTTAACCAACAAACATGATGATATAATGGGAACGCCATGAGTTTGGCAGTGCAGGTCAGTTCATTTTGAGCTTTAATGGAATATAGTGGGATATTATCATTGTACACCTATGTATGGTTATTAAAAGAGTGATATTAAGCACGTGGTTAATGCGGTAAAGCCAAGGCCATAAACAATAACCAAACGATTTGATCCATATAGAATATAGATCTACCAGATTTATCCCTCACATTCATCCGCCACGTTCATAGTTTAGTGTCAATCAGGTGGAATCGATGGCAATGTGAAAAACCTTGCGCTGATGGCTTCGCTATGATCTATTGGAGTTAATCAGTTGGCAAACCCTATTCAAAAAATCAAAAAACAGGTCACATCCCAAGGGCCTTTTGAACTGTCACCGTGGCTCGGGAAATCCGTAGTCCCAGCGGTAGGTTCTCAAAGCTCTTTTGCGTGACCGCATCCATCGGAGATGTGGCTGGAGAAGTCATGGTGTCCCGGTGACCGGTGGCGAATTGCTGAACATCCTTGGTTTCAAAGAGAGTTTTGGAGGGGGTATCGTATAGCTAGATGTAGCGAAGATATCATAGATATCCAAGGTTGGATATTGTAGACCTCTAAGTTTGAGGACTTTGGCCTCACATATCCGTGTAGAGCGGTTTCCGAGAGTATATATAGCTTTCCTGGCGATGGAAAATCACGAGTTTCGCACATCATCCAAAAACACGTCGCCTTGGAGAAGATACAATATGGACACTTCAACATCATAGCTAAAAATCCTTATCTGAGAAAAGCAAATACAGTTTGCCTATCTTGTACTTTAGGAGTCTTTAGGATGATTATTTATCACAAAAGCATATTTTGGGTGGCGCTGTCGCTGTCCTTCAAGAAGTTAGAGAATCAAACAATTATTGATTGCAGACGGTTGGAGGTTTGATCCGTGGATTGGAACCATTTGGAACCGGGCGCCCCTGCAGCTACATCTCGGCGATCACAGTTTTGGGGATTGGATGGTCACTGGTCATCGGGGTGAAAAAATTACCCTACTGTGAGAGCTTTATCAGATTACCATAGATTACCCTACTTGTATAGTACATCCGCCAAGTTTGGGTGAAGGAACCCCCTTGGCATCATCTGGCGATGGCCATCCGGTCGTTTTCGCGTCGAGGTGGGTGAAGAGACCAAATTCTGCTGCATTCAGAGCTCCTTGGTAGGGGAAAAAAAACATGTTTTGTTTGCATCCAAATGGTGGAAGCCTCCATGAGACAGAGCTGAAAGGTAGACTTCACCAAGTTTTGGGACCTTGCAACATGTTTGAATCATGTTGCACACTTCTTTTTCGATGTTCGTTTTGATACGTGACGTTCAATGTTTGAAATGTGGATCGAATCCTGGTGAAGCTACCACCTTACTGCAGATCAAAGAGGCTCATCTCCCTATGAAGCCCATCCGCCCAATTTTAAACAGTCCCCAGAAACCATGGTTTTTTCGTAGGGGATTTACGCGCATGAAAGATCATACAATCGGGGGTAATTATATAAGACAGGGGGGAAGAGTTTATTTGGGGTTTGGAAATTCGAATACATGTTTCTCTATAGAGCGGTTTCCGAGAAACAATGTTAGTGTTGTAAACCCGATCATATACCATAACCTGATTGCCCAGTTTCATCAAATTTACCATCGGCGGGTAGCCAACACTGTCCCCCTAAAAAATATTGTTTATGAGTGGGATTATCGCATCCGTGGCATTCTTAAACAACTAAATCATATCAAATCACATCAAATCACATCAAATCACATCAAATCACATCAAATCATCATTAAATCATTAAACTAAACCATTTGAACAGTTGTTGGTTAAGAAACCCTTGTGGCAACCCCACAAAAAAGATAGAAAAGAACCGTTTCACTACTCTAGTAGGTTTTTACGACTGGGGTTGCAAACTAAAAATGTTGGTAGTTTCACAGATGGTTTAAACCTCAAGCCTATTGATGATCCCAACAATATGATGCCCCCCACAGTTGGTAAGTAGGGTTATAACATCCATCAACTATAGGTACATGAGTAATACTGTGAACCTTAGAATATATTATAGATGGCACATATATCATATATAGATTTATTTTTATATAAATATATATATATAATATATATATATAATACCATAAACCTGATATTTTGCCTGGTGATGTTGTCCAACTTCGCCAACACCCTGGCCGTCGCCGTCGTTTTTAGCGCAGGTCAGGTCTTCTGTGGCTTCGATGGAGGCAGCAAGTGTCCTCAGGCCAACGGTGGATGCTTCATGTTCAAACCCGAGCTGCTTGGCTGGGAGTCATGGACAGTCTTGGCTGGATATGCAAATGATCTATCAATTCCATTCAATTCCTGGATTGTATTAAGATATATATATATATTTATTTATTTATTTATTTATATGTATAGGTGAGCTTGGATAATCTAAGGTATAAGATCTATAAATGGCTTATCTATTATCTGTTAATGGTCCCATCAATATAAACATTTATTTACACATATATATATATATATTCATATATATATATTCATATATATATATTCATATATATATATATATTTAGGGTTCTATCTACTTTCTGTAGGATACTATATCTATATAGGATACTAAACATATCTATAGGATATAGATTGACACATAGTAATTTATGTGATTATATAGTCATAGGCCATGGGTTATAAACAGTATGTTGTGTATAATATATACTCCCTTCGAGAAGGCGATGGCGCGAGAGAGATAGAATCTATAGGATTGATCATGTATAACCATGTCTAATCTATAATATCACACACATAACCTATAGAATGCGGAAACTTCCTGGATACTGGAGGATAGTGGAGGATGTTTTTGTTTTGTTTTTCTTCCCGGTTTTTGGGACCAGTTTTTTAAAAGAGAGGTGTGCATGGCAAATTTAAGGAAGGGACGATCCTGAGTCCCATGGCTACATCCCACTTTTTGCCAATCGGAACAGCACTAGATTTGATTCCTGGAAAACAGCATCTTCAACTCCAGTAACATCCAGCAACTTTTTTTTTTTAGAAACATTGTTGTACCATACCCCGATTGTATTTTCTATCCCCATGTATATTTGGTGGTGTTTTTTTTAACAAATACCATATATAAACCATCCATTGTTGGACCAAGGCATTCCCGAAGCCTCCACTAAACGAACAGTTTGCGAACTGGTATGGGGCGAGGAGATCGATGATATTATGATGTTCCCAATGATTTGATGGTACTTTGATGCTTATTCATGGTGGTATCAACATCATGTTAAATCCAAAGATTTGATGCTTCAATCATGGTTTTTCATAGTTTTTTCATAGTTTTTCATGGTTAAACCGTTAAACCAATGTGAAATCCTCATATTTGTTGAAGCCGAACCATCCACAACTCGCAAACAAACTTAGGCTGGTCTGCGAAGGTTCCGCCAAGCTCTTCTGTATCAAGGCTGGTTTCACCGGCCAAAAATGTTGCTTTCACCGGAAAACATGTGAAAACATGTTTGGTTGAAGCAGAAAATTTGCAGAAGATTTTACACGGAAATATTCACCAGTTCTTTGAGCGGTGGTGTAACCAGTGAAGAATGGTGATTTCAGCAGCAAAGATGGGGTTAAAACACGCTATGTTCAAGGAATGTGCCGCTGTACTTGCATGGGCGCACAGGGCGCAAGAACCGAACCGAACTGGTTTGTAAAGACGTGTGGTTTAACAACAAAAATGTGGTCTAATCAGGGCCTAGCCAAACCACAAAAATAGTTTCACAAATTGGTGATGGTGGTTCATATTGGGTAGAGTAAGTGTATGTCATGTATACATATATATATATATATTTAATAGAGGTTCAATATTTTGCATGTCGAAACATGTGAGCAGTTTAAAGCCTAGATAAGTCATTAGCTATTGAAAGGGGATTTAACGAACTATTATGTCAAGAGGTTTGAACTTCGCATGGGAGAAAAATGGCTATAGTAAATGATGTTTGGTTGATGACTAGTTCGGGAGGTTTGTTTCCATATTTGCTGGATGATTTCAGAAAACCCACCGATTTCCAGGTTTTACGGGAGATCCTTCCATCACAAGTTCCAGGTGCAACATGCACTTAGCCTGGGGTGAACCAACATAGATGTGAACAACCCATGGCTTTCCTGAGACAATCTACAAATGGTGGGTTTTACACATCGAACGGTTAGTTTACATGAAGGTAGATTGGCGCCTTCCACTCCTGTATGATGTTATTTTCGCTGGTATTTGTTTCCTACATGAATTCGACTTGAATTAACTGCGGTTTGTTGGACAATAATAGGGTTCCCCCAAAATCTCATTAAACATGATCAAACATAATTTCAAACATATTACAGATAGACAGCTATATCTGATCATATCTAATCATCATTCCATGCCAATTTGATTCATGTTCAGTATGATAAATCTAGGTCAATCTTACATGGATACTTTAATCCTTTAGTCTTTTGGTATTAATGGACATATCTACTAACAAGCAAATTTTCATGTAAATCTTCACTGTTTGGACCCATGACTTCCCCTTCGCTCAGGTGGGGTTCCTCCTCCCAAAGGCGCCTCTCATCGTGTGCTGTCAGAAGGAAGTTTATGGCGGCTACTGAACGCGCCCGGGCGGGACTGCTCGCGTCGTAGTGCCTTACGGCGGGACCGTGTTCCCACCGCAGCTGACGCAGAAAGGGGGAGAGGAAGCTCAACTCAGAGATCTTGGAGATATTTGGGATGATGTTCAAGGTCTGAAATGATTTCGGAATGCACGCATGATTCTACCCAAGTGCCGAGGGAAAAACAAACCGAAGTAAAAGTTCCTGCATGTTGTTTTGCTTGACTTGTTGTTTTCGGTGAAATATTGAGAGAACTTATCTTTCGATTTGTCATGTGCTTGCTAAGTCACTGCAACATTCATCTCTGCACTGGATTCTTGCAGGTTAGCAATCCACGTCTCATGTGTGTAGGAGTGGGTGTTCGTCCCTGATTCTCAAATTTGAATAAATTTGAGGTATTGTATATCAGACGTTTTTCTTGCATGAATGGTTCAATCTTGCATTCCATTTACCCTAGGATGGGAACATGCATATCATTTTTGACTTAAATCCTGGTTTTGTTTGGTTGATTCATCATGTTTGATAGATATTGATAGTGAACTCAAATCTGAATGTATTCTGATGAACTTGTCAACCTTAAGGTGACCATTTCTGTTGATTTCATATTGTTGACTCTCCATGTTCATCCCACGATTTGCAACCTCTTTCTGAAGCACTTCTGGTGCACCAACTGTCGAAGTCCGGTTGAGTGCTGCAGCGGGCGTGGATTACATTGGGTGCCTTCGATTCCCTAGCGAGTCGAACTTCGACCCGTCCCCCTAAGAATACCATTTGGTTATGACTAACATAGCCATGGAAAATCACCAGCCTATTTTCCATGGCTATGTTAGTCATAACCACAGGGTAACACTAAACACCCTCCATTTCCTATAAATCCGTTATTGCTTGGCATTTGTCTCAATATCTCACGGAGACTTGCTTGATCACTTTTTTTTTTGAGGCAGAGCGTATGCCAAGATTTGCAGACCCACAAATGGCCATCGTAATATGGACAATGAGGTTCCAATCCACTGGAATGGGGGGTTACCATATTTTCAGATACATATATATATATATATATATTTATACATACATATAATATATGTATATATATATATGTATATATATATATATATATGTATATAATCTATATATAAAGATCTCTGGATGGGGTCAGATCGATGGCACGATGTATCCTCGCCCAGGCCTCTAAAGATTATGCTGCACACTGCGCGACGGAGAAAAGACCTGATGTCTTGGGCAGACCTGGCGATGCCAGGCGATGCCAGGAAGCATGCCATGGGGTGTCCAAATGGATACCAATAGCCTGCAGTTTTAGATGTTTTAGATGCCTGTCATAAAGGTTGCATTTGGGTTTCAAAAAAGCTTAAACTGCTTAAATTCCTGTGAGTTGAAGCGCCACTTCCTGGCATCATGCTTCATTTGACCACTGGCTTCGTGGACACATCTGTCACTGGGATATCGATATATAATTGATATAATCAATGTAATCCCTGACTCCCAACAAAAAACCTAATCATGTGGCCTTCCAAATGAAGAGATCCAGATGATCCAGTATATTTCACAAGGTTTCGTTTGGTGCATATGGTTGGGATCGATGGGATCGATGGTATTCGTTGGAACCACTGCGGAACTTTTCCACCAATCCAAACAGCTGATGGTCTTGGCTCAAATTGGCCAATCTAACTCGGAGCACAGAAAATAAGACCAACAAACCGAAGTAGAAACACTTTTATCTACCCACTCAGTCTTCGACAAAGTTTAACTGGAGCTTTCACAACGACAAAGTTTAACTTGGTCTTTGGAAGCGACATGTGTTTACTGGGCATTATCAGACCCAATGAGTGCTAGTATAAAATAGTATAAATATATACCGGACTCCAGAGTTTCAAACAAATCCCACTCCAAACCCAGAGCGTGAAAAGTGCGTGAAACGACCGTGAAAAACCCGTGAAAAGACAGTGAAAAACCCGTGAAAACCAATCAAAAACTTGAGCATGGAAACCACGTATTTTTATTCAGAATTTTGAGGATTGATTTACGGATTCGATTAGGCCCAGGGGAAAGGTCACCCTTTTTTTGACCTTTAGTATGGCCAATATATCAGCAGTCAATGAGTGTCTTTAAGTAAAGTCATGGCTTTACTTGGACGACAGCGTTTAACTTTGTTCTTGGAAGTAGTGGGCTATATATTATATTGTATCATATTCTATTGTATTAGATTTTATCATATTTTAGCATATTTTATTTGATCTAATTGGGTTTTCTCAAGTCATGGTAAGGATAAATTAGTATCACTTACTGTATCACCATGGCAGTTCTTGGGCTGCAGCGTTGATACGGTACCATAAAGCGAAGGTTTGTTTGGCTTCGGAAGCCTTGACCAGACATTCGTTCCGAGAACAGGAATTGTTTTGGCAAACAAAACGTGTACAGATATTAGTGGGTATGTTCTATTTGGTTAATTTGTGCACGTTATATATGTTCGGACATGATCAAGTCAATATGTTCCTGGAAGGGTTCGGACAGATTTTGTCAGGTTTTTTTGATCTCACTTGCTATTCGTGTCAGTTTTCCACAACGGGGTGGTGACCCCCCATTGATTCTAATGTTAGTATACAGAAATTGGATCCACCATCCCCAATTTGACCACAAAGTCATGGAATAAATCATCAAAAATGCTGTGTTTGTTTATGACATGTCGTATTACGCGCATAACAATAACAATCATTGTTACCCTCTGGTTATTTAACATAGCCATGGAAAATTGCCCATTTATAGATGGTTTACCTATTAATGAGTGGTAATTTTCAATGGCTATGTTAGTCATAACCAGATGGTAACCATTGTGAATGATATGGCAGTGATCAACAGTGATCCATTATCATCCATTGATATCCATGGTCCATGGAAGATAGAACCAGCAATTTCGCCATTGCCTCGCCATGCCCCGTGCACGGTCGCGGTCTCCGCGGTCTCAGTCGCAGAAGAAACGTCGCAAGCGCGCCCGGCGGAAGGCGTGCGGTGTTTCAGATGGGGGAATGGTTGGTTTGACCCACCAAAAAAATTGGGATTTCATGGGATTTCATGGGATTTAAGATCCAAAAATTGGGGTTTCATGGGATTTAATTATAGCTAATCCCTTCCTCCTAATACTAAACCCCCCCCCCTAATACAAAACACGGCAGGTAGTTTTTAGTATTAGGGGGGTATTTATTATTAGGGAACCAAATCGAAGTCATGTTAATTAATTAATTAAATTTCTTTATCTAACGCAATTAAAATATTGCCAAAAACGGCAGTTCGAAGCTTACCCCTAATACTAAATTAAAACCCTTAATACTAAAAACTATTTTTTCCGATCTCAAAATCAATTAAATTTCCTTATATAACGCAATTAAAATATTGCCAAAAAAGGCAGTTCGAAGCTTACCCCTAATACTAAATTAAAACCCTTAATACTAAAAACTATTTTTTCCGATCTCAAAATCAATTAAATTTCCTTATATAACGCAATTAAAATATTGCCAAAAATGGCAGTTCGAAGCTTACCCCTAATACTAAATTAAAACCCTTAATACTAAAAACTATTTTTTCCGATCTCAAAATCAATTAAATTTCCTTATATAACGCAATTAAAATATTGCCAAAAATGGCAGTTCGAAGCTTACCCCTAATACTAAATTAAAACCCTTAATACTAAAAACTATTTTTTCCGATCTCAAAATCAATTAAATTTCCTTATATAGCGCAATTAAAATATTGCCAAAAATGGCAGTTAGAAGCTTACCCCTAATTGCTAGAGTAGCTAGGCAGCTTGGAGTGAGGGATTGGGACTAGGCCCCCCTAATACTAAACACCCCGGGGTGAACTAGTTTTTAGTATTAGGGGGGAGAACCCACAAATGGTAGGTTGATTTTTAAATTGTTTTTTAAAGGGGATCAATTAAAAGTCAAATTGGCCAAACTGAAATTTTCGGAAATTGGAGATGGATGCCTGTTTTTAGTATTAGGGGGACGTTTAGTATTAGGAGGAAGGGATTAATGATAACGATGGCGAAGTTGATTTATAACTTGATTAACTTGGCTATCTAGGGGTGAATAAGAACTATGGCTAGCAATTACCGAGAAGCCGGAAATCAACGCAATGATGGTGTTGGGTTGTGAAATGGGGGGCCCCAACATTACTTCCCCCCAAGCAGTCCTGCAATGTCCTGCATCTAGAATATGTTTCCATAGGCTATATACCTGTTGTATTATGTACAGTACAGTGTCATATCATAGTCTATCCATTCACCTTCCATCAGATGTGACACACATCCACATCCACCACTTTTTAGATCATTTTCCCCAGAGACCATGGGATTTTTGTTCATATCTACTCTAGGTTGCCCTGGGGTAAATCAAAACACTGGAAGAAAATATCCCCGAATTGGAGTAGGGAACACCCTTTTTTTGTTGGGCAAACATGCCCCGAATTCCTGTAGATTGTCCCAACAAAATCATTTGCATTCAGTATGACCTTGCCCATTTTTTTTGAAAAGTATTCAGTTACAATCACATCCATCCATTTATCCATTCTATTTAGTGTATCACATCGTTTCCCCAACAAAAACATCCATGGAGGTCACCTCTGCCAGGCTAAATCCTCCAGTTCCAGCGCTTCCAGCGCTAGCCGTGCTGAGCAAAGCACTCGGCAGTGGCTTCCGGCGATGCACGCCATGCAGTGGGCGGCGGCCAGCGCGGCCAGCGCCAGCGCGGCTGGCGCCTGGGTGGAACCCGTTTCACCTCCGTTTCACCTGAAAAGTGGTGGTTGAACAAACAGAGAGATAGGGAGAGAGAGAGAGAGAACAACCATTGATTTTTGTTGCGACAAGACATGGTGATTGAACCCGCAAAAAGTCAGAAAGTGGGGATCATCGTCAAGGGAATGAATCGGTTGGAAGATTCGAGGATAATCCCAGTAATTCATACGGCTACGTTCCCGATTTGTGCAGGAAGGCTCCCCTCAGTTCTAAGTTTGTTTGTAACCTCATCGAACGATAGAACAGTTATATGTTTTTGCAATAAACCCTAGATATCCCTGGATACCCTACTTGTAAGCCAACTTTGCTAAGGGGAGAAGGGGACGACTTCTTGTCGGATTATTTCATACAAAATTAAATTTGGCTATAAAAACAGGATGCCACTAGCCGCGGTGATGTTTTCCCGGATGGCGTGCAGAGCATTGCAGAGCTGGATCAGCAAACCCAATGATTGTCCATGCTCAATGTTAGCATCAATGGGTTGTAGTGAAGACCATACCTATCCGTCCCACAAATAATAATAATGTACGACAATACCCGCCTGAAAAAGAGATGGCAACCCGCACAATCGAAATTCCACTTAGAAATTCATGGTTCCAAAAGCATTTCCCTGTTGAAATTTAATTGGGGTTGAGCAATGTTATGGCAAACCCCAACTCAAAACCCACATTGGGTTTGGTTACAATCAGACGGCGTCTCACAGAGTTATTGGTCGAAGTTTTTCTTATCAAATTAGTAAATTAGACATATTTTTACGATTTCACTTCCAAACAAGATAGACAATCTAATCACGATTTCATTAGGATTGTACTTTTTCATACCTTCTCATATTTTTTTTGGGGTTGGCTATTACACACACACACATATATATATATATAGATATAAACAAATATATTGGCAACCGCCAACCCCCCAAAAAAAATGCAATTGTCTCCTGCAGATTTTCCTGTGATCGCCAAGGTTACTGGTCTCTGGCATATCCCGGCTATGCCTATGCCATGCCCGCCTGCGCGGGCTATGCCGGAACAGGAAGTTCCGTGGAGCATGGCGGTGCCGTGGCAGACCATGGGAAAATGTTGGGAACACATGGAAAATGTTGGGAAAATGTGTGTTTAAACCCATGACAGTGGGAAATTTTCCAGAAAATTCAGAGATGGATATGTGTGTTTCATGGACATAAAGTTCTTTTTTTTATCAGCTTTGCATTGGAACACTACACCTACTCTGTAAAGGACGTATCTTGGGGGAAGACCAAATATGATGTGTTTTTCCTTCCCGCATGTACCAAATAAAAACATGCACTCATATGAAACATGTTTTTCCCGGCCGCATCTCTTACTTGCTTGTGCTCTACGTAAGCCCTAGATATGTTATATAAGTGTTGTATTATATTTATATACTGCACCTCGAACTTAATGAACCTATGGTGTGTGTGTGTGTGCATGAAGCAAAAGGTCGATAGATGGATGGACAAATTGACAGATGGAGTAGATGGAGCAATCTTCATGTATATGCACATGAGGTGTGCATGTGTTCTTGTTAGCAAATATGTTTACACATTCATTTGCCTTTTTGTACACATAACTACATGATACATACATACATACATACATACATACATACACACATACACACATACACACATACACACATACACACATACACACATACACACATACACACATACACACATACACACATACACACATACATACATACATACATACATACATACATACATACATACATACATACATACATACATACATACATACATACATACATACATACATACATACATACATACATACATACATACATACATACATACACATATAATTACATATAGAAATATATGTATACGTTTACTGCTTGGTGGTTTATGTGTTTTCCCCTCCTGGGATGATGATCCCCACTGGTGGCCATGGGAGAACATCTTTTCACCGGAAACCATGGGTTTTTTCCTGGAAAAAATCCCTGAAATTTGAAACCATGGTCACCATCACCTGTCAGGTCATGGTTCGCCCCCTGGGCCAACTGTCTCGACTTTTCTGGACGGTGGAGTTGAGGAAAGCTGTGGGGAGATGGCAGCTACCATGGGGGGTTTACCCTCTGGTGATGTTCCACCGTTGTTGTTTGGATTTTTCGATGAAAACCTTCATTCCATAGGGGATTTATGCTGATTTAACCTCCAGTAAACGATCATAGCTATGGTAGTTCAATGGCCCATCGAGTTCGATGATAGAAATTAACGACTTACCAAGGATGAATGGTTATTTTCCATAGCTACAACTAGATGTTATTTGGTGGAAAATCATCAACCCAACCAACAGCGTGACCCTGAGAAAATTTGTTATTCTTAGAGGAAGGTGGTCTTCCATTCCAACCCCCGTTTCACAAAGTCTGTCAGTTGGAGGGGTGGTACCCGCAATCCTTGTTTGGTTTGTTTGATGTTTTTTTTGTGAATTTCCGACCTTGAGGAATGATACCAATTGACTTTTCTACTACCATGCGTCTCATGCAGGTGTCCACGTGTGTGAGACGCTTTGGCGCTTGGCTTATATGAACCGTCGTTTGGCAACATCAAGAATAGAATGGTTTTGACGTTCTGCACCAACAGGATGCCAAATGACTGAAGTCATAATTTTCATATGTATATATTGTTTCCCATTTGTGGGCCATACAGACTGCAGCTCCAGGTGTTATTGAATTCCCCAGTAGTCAGCCAAGTTACAGGAGACTTCTCAGCGTTGGATGACAAGGGCACAAAACGAATGATAACTTCACCCTTCATCTGCACAGAAACACACATATGAGCATTTGGATCAACATAATTCACACACATGTCACACACACACATACTCATGCATATATATATATATATCCGAATAAGGTAGATTAGATTGGATCAGATCAGATCAAATCAGATCAGATTAAATAGATGGATAAATAAATCAAAACAATCCATGGTGGTTTTCTCTAACAGATAATGGATATATATATATATGTATGTTACAGATCATCCACTATCCATTATATATTATACACTGCGGAGATATATCTGTAATCCATTCATCCATTCACTAACAGATAATCCACTGACTCTAAAAGATATACCCTCTGGTAAACTAACATAACTATGAAAAATCACCATTTTCAATGGGAAAATCGACTATAAATGGTCATTTTCAATAGCTATGTCTGACATAACCAGAGGGTAGATACACATCGGTTTTCTGTAGCCAGTGGAGTCTTCCATCATCCACTCCGCAGGAGATTGTGGAGGTTCCCAAGGCGCACATCGCGCGGGTCATCGGCAAACGCGGCCGCACCATTGCGGAGGCGCCCGGAGGTTTAACCGGCCGAACACTGGGGAGTTCCTGGGATTTATCTTTAAAAACTGTGGATTTCATGGGATTTTATGGGATTTAAGATCCAAAATTTGGATTTCATAGGATTTATAGCTGATGAAATTGATGGCGAAGTTGGTTTGCAAGCAGCCCGGCAGCCCAACTGGTGTAAAAATGGTGGATGCATCAACCGTTAACGGGGGGTGGATGCATCCGTCAGATGGTGAAAAGGTATCGGTAGACTTGATATGTACAGAAGAGCTTGGCGAATGGCATTGTTTTGTTGGCAAACTGTGCTGCAATGTCTCGAAGATTTACTCTTGGTAATTCAGGGCATATCAGTCGTGTTTTCGCTGGGTTCATGGGACATGTTGCGTCAATTAAAACATATTGAAGGTTCTTTTATATAAATATATGCGTATATATATATGTATATGTATTTATTTACTTATATATATATATATATCTGTATGTATAGTATGTGTGTGTGGTTCTTAGAATGTCATGCCTATACTTAAATATAGAGATATGATTTACCCCAATCTTCGATATAGACAATGAACGCCATTTTCCTTGGATGTAAAAAACATGGTCATCCTGGCATCAACAAGGTGCGCTCCAAGAGTGGTGCATGGAATGTGGATGCCCGAGCTTCTTGGCGAACGGGAAAGCCATCATGTTTGATGAGATTTCAGGTACATCATCTAACTCTGTGCACCATTTCCCTATGTTAATTTACTACTTTATCTTTGTTTTATCTTAGTTTGCTGGAGAGTGAACACCTCCTTATTTATCAATTGGGCGTCGGTGATTCGGAAAATTGGAAGCGGGTTTGCCTCGTGGCCATGTGGGAAGCTGTCTCAGCTTCTTAGCCACCTAGGCAAATTTGATGTCAAATATGAACCCAGGGGTGTGGGAAAAATTGTAAAATATGTTAAATGAACCGTTTTCTAAGCGCCTTGCGGTTCATGTCCACTCCACATTTGCAAGCGGCTCAGAAGTCCTCCTTTTCCATGGTGGTTTTGTGTAGTTCCAGTTGACGATTGAAAGATTGATACCTGGACGGCCCATGAGGCCAAAATCCTCATCCTGGTCGTCATGTTTTTCGTTATCGTCATCGTCGTTATCCAGATAACACAGATAACAAAGATAATCACTAATCACAATTTTATAGACAATGATAATAGTAATAAACAACATGATCATATGATATAACATAATAAGTCCATCACAATAACAGAGTAATAATGATAATGATGATAAGAAACAAACATCATCCAATCATCCAATAGCTAAGGAGAAACCGCCAGCACCATAGATGTCCTTTTTCCATCCCTTTTCCCATTGATTAAAAGATTTGTTAACCAGTGCTAACCGGATAACCCCCTTTCACAACCTGTTTTGGTACAATGTTGTGCCCCATAGTAATCTAAGCTGGTGTGCTTCATGGTAGATATATCGAAGTAGTCAATGGGTCAATGGGGCCAACATAAACCAACAACCAGTTCACTAAGTTCACCACGGGGCACCACATTCGACCAGCCATGGCTGGAAATTTTTAAACCCAGGGGGACTGGTAGGCCCAACTGCACCAAGGATCAAGAAGAAGATCCCTGCCAAGTGAAGGTCACGGGCCCTGCAGAAGCAGTCTCTTGGCCCGTGATTGCAGATCCCGATGTCCTAGGTGGGATCGTCAGTTTCAGGACCCTAAGGCCATATTCTGTGGCGATATTCCCTTAAATTGCCTCAAAAATAGGCTATATATATATATACATGTATATATATATATATGGTAAGGAATGGCAGGGACCTCTAATTTGCAGCTTTGGAGGGTTGAATCGACCAAGCCTGAAAGCAAGGATTCATATCAAGTGTTCGAAGCATGGATATCATTTTTTCTAAAACCAGTCAGAAGTGTGTGACCAAACAGTAAAACAGTAGCCTCAGGTAGCTTATGTTACATATATGTTCCAGATCAGTTCATGTGGAGAGCAAGCTTATTATCCTGATGACATTGGGTATCGGGTCCAGAGCCACACTTCTAGGTCAAAAAAGCTCGGGACATGATCTTGGAACTGCAGCTTGGTGGAAAACTGGTGGCTTCCAGGAACATTGAGCGGAACTGGTGACATTTTGGGTGACATGTTGCGAGTAGGCAACAATCAACCATGAACGAAGGTGTTTATCCATTGTTGCCATTGTTGTTGGTAGTTTTGATTTTATCAACTATGAAATGGCTCCGGAAAATATCATACATACATAAATACAGATAATAAATACGCATCACGTATTTTGCTATAAGATCATCCCCGGACAGATGTTTCATCATAATATCGTCAGAATAAGAACATTACTTATATCCAAATATATATATATAAATTATATTATATATATATATATTATTTATTATATATATATATTATGTATATAATATATTATATATAAAATATAATATAGAAATGTATAATATATATATTATTATTATTATATATATATATATATTTAATATATTTTATTTTATATTTTATATATTATATATACTATATATATTTTATATATATATATATTATATTATATATATATTATATACTATATATTATATTATATTTATTTTATATATTATAATATATATATATAATGGATCCATGTGGATCCATATCCCATTTTTGGGATGAGATATCCCATTGATCTCTGCCATGATCCCACGAAATCCAGTTTTAGGACTGTCCGAATCTCACACGGGCCCTCAAACATGGGCCTTAATATCTTATTAATGGCTTTGTTCAAATAAACAACATGTGTAGCCCTGAAATTCATTGGTTATATTATGTTTTTTGTTGTCCCTATCAAAAGTCTAGTCAAAGTGGTATATGATGTGGTTAAGCATCTTCTATCCCTATTCAAAACAGCGGGCCATGGATCCCAGAAATTCCAGGTCCCGGCCCATGTCGGAGCGCTTCAGCGACCGCGTCTTCGTGGAGATCTCCCAGGGGCAGATTGGAAAAGTCGTGGGAAGCAAAGGCGATGCCGCGGTGTCGTGGGGACCGTGAGGTTTTAAAAAAGGGACGTGTTTAAGGTGGGAAAACGTCATGACCTTGGTTAGTCAAAGTTAGTCATATAATATTATGTATGTATGTATAATTATATATATATTATATGTTATATATTAATATTACATATATATATATATATGTTATGATGTATACATATGTTAATTATATATGTTATAGTTTGATGATTATTGATTATTGGTGGTTATATCCAATGGTAATTAACCTTTGGTAAACCAACACTTTGCTGTGGAAATCACAATTACAATGCTTATATACGAGGTAAATCTGCGAGTTTCCCACAGCTATGTCAGTTCAGTGCAGGGTAATCATGATATCACGATAACAAGCACTATATATATAATTATATATATATTAATTTATTTTTATATAACAAATTATATATGGTATTTGACTGTGTCATCAGGATATCAAACAAAGTAGAAACACATCATGCAACTCAGAAGAACCATGATATAGCATGATTTAGAGATCATAGAGTAAACAATGCAAACTATCATGTTTTTGTTTGGCTGAGTTCTGAGTGTCATCCCACATCGGAGAAACGTTCCCAAAGTGAACCAAGACGTTTGATGAGGGACATAGTTTCTATTTGCCATCTACACGTGCGTTTCTGTTCAGCTTTGGAGTGGGCCGTGTTCAAGAACAACAAACGCAAGGCAAAACCAGCACAACTTGGAACCTAAGTAGAGCTCCAACACTTGGATTGCAATGTGTTTTGACCGAGAAAATTAGAGTTTAAAGTTGAAACTTTGCAAACAGCAGGACCGCTAGATTTCAGCCATATCAGTGGGGAAACACGTTTAACCTCAAAAACTTGAGCTGCAACCAACCAACCATGGTCATATGTGGGGCGTGCAAGAGATCCTGGTCTACCCAACCTGCCTGGATTTATTGATTGCTTCATCCACCAGAGATGGGGAGTCTTCTGGAAAGAGGTTTCATTTCTTATGGCCCCAGCAGCAAATCCAAATTTGAAACGTAAGCGTCGCAACCGTTTTTTGAGGGTGCCATAGTGCCATTGGTGCACTGCCGCAGGTGCCCGGATTCAAGAAATCGAACGACAGACTGGGGCGACTGAGCTCATCTAAATACTGAAAAGCAAGGATTCCTATGGGGGGAAGGGAAAGGAACCTGTTGCTGTACCAGTAGTACCAGCATGTGTTTGTCAAAGATTGTATAAATAGTGTGTACACTTTGTACACCCCAGAAAACCAACAGTTCGCTCTGGAAAACCCGTTGACTTCGATGGTTTCCCTCTTAAAACTTGGGGATTCAGAGAGATTGTTCCGTTTCGCAACCCGGCCGCCTGAGGTGAAAATCGATATCGACTATACCTGCACCTGAGCTGGAAGTTGGTGGACTTCCGGGGGAATGACGGGAATGACTGCCAGCTGAAGAGCTGAATGTTGGGAAATCTAAAAATGGATCGTTCAAGGCACCATTGATTTATATTGACTTCCTGATTCTGACATCACAGTTACTAATCAGAACCTCTCTAAGCCATTGAGCCTTTGCTAGGCAGGTTTGGGCGTTGGCCTTGACTGTGATGATCAGTTGCGACATGGACAAAGATGATGACCTCAACATCGGATGAATTCAACGGATGAACAGCCATGACAAATTTGATGACCTAGATTTAGATGCATCAGACAAATCAGCAGTCATTTTGAATACATAATCTTACAAGTCACCAACATCTCTGAAATCAAGTTTTTCATTATTTTGCGATACGTTCGCCATATGCTTCATTATTCCAAAATGTAAAAGTATCAAAAGATGAATAATATAGAAGACAATAGTGTCTATCGACATGCATGCATACATCCATACATCCATACATCCATACATCCATACATCCATGTATTTGTACATCCATCCATACATTACATTACATTACATTACATTACATTACATTACATACATATATACATTTGTTCATATATATATATATGTGTGTGTGTGTCCAAACCTGTCTGGATTCGATCCTCTCACACTCAACATGTAACATATCTGTGGCCCGTCTAGGCGCTCCCTGCAGGGTGTTCCTCACTGGCAGTGAGTCACAAGTGCGCCTGACCAAGCGCTTGCTTCAGGAGATTGCCAGCTGAGCAGCTAGAAAGATGATGATTTAAGCAACAACAATGGTGATTTACAAGGATGATCTATACCAGCACTTATACATTAAGATACATTAAGTATTTCAGTTGTGTGTCTGTGAATCGATATTTTATACCACATGGATAGGCACATGCATGTATGTATATACCGCGAGCACGACCACGACGCCCGAGGTTTGGATGACTTGCCATTCAGCATGCTAACCTATAAGGGAGATAAGGAAGAAAAAACGCAGATGCGAGGCAACTATCTCAGCTATAGTGGTATACCTTCTGGTTTTTTGACGTAGCTATGGAACATCATTTTTTTTAAGTTCGATAAATCATCATGAATCTTTGAGCTAAATGGACCGTCCATACCATAGCTGTTCAATAACCAAAGGGTAACCCACTTGCCAGTTAAAAAAATTGGTTCGGGTTCATTCCAGCGGCACGGCGACGTTGATTGCAAGCAGCATGAGAGCGCGAAGAAAAGATAACAGCGGCCCGTGTCCATGGTGCGGATACCATTCTTTTGGAGTGCAAAATGACAGTGGCTGCGAAGCTAAACCCAGTGTGTTGATGCTTATTATGGGTGTCTTTAGCCAAGATTAAACCGTCATAAAACATGATACCATAGTTGATCAATGATATTTGATGATCGATGGGGTTCTACTATTTTTTATCGGGGATTATCATCATCCATGAGCTGAAAATATCCTCATTGTTCAAATGGATGCTCATTTGTCGCACGCAGATGTGCACAGTCCACTTATTCAACAGTTGTTGGTGGCAATATTTCTTGGTTTGTAGGCCACGTAGCAGGGTTGTCATGACTCTGCATACAGTATTTTGCACGTCACTATTTATATATATATATATCATATATATATATCATTTATATATATATATAATTAAATAATATAGTGTATTTGATTATTTGCACATACTCTAATATTTTGGGTTTGGTTGGTGAAGATGCCAGTTAGATTGGGATTTGTACCCAGTTGGAGGCAGCTGCAAACTCAAGTGGAGTCAAATGCCCTCGCAGTCTGATGAATTCTCGGAGTTGGGGGTGGCTCAACTTGAATTTGTACTGGCGATGCGTGTTTTTCGATATAAAGTAAGGTTGCTCAGAGTCCCATTTCCAGCATGAGTCATGTTTACTCTAGGATAGATTATTTGTACATCTTTGTACAATTGTCAAGTTTTCTTGGGGGCATTGCCAGTGTGATGGTCATCATTCCCACATCTAGTCGTGAGGGGATTCCCACTATGGGATGACGAACAAAAACCCCATGACCATCCCAGATAACTTGACCATGGCACTTGCCATTTGGTAATACCCTCTGGTAAACTAACATAACTATGGAAAATCACCATTTTTAATTGGTAAATCCACTATAAATGGCCATTTTCAATAGCTATGTTAAATTACCAGAGGGTACCTGTTTTGTTGGCAAATGATCTTTGAATCATCCATGTTCCATAGCAAACTGTTCGTTTGAAGGAGGGTATATCCCATGAATCTCAGTTCTATCCCATTCTGCTTGATGATATTCCCATTGAAATCTCCACTAAATCCAATTGGTTCAACGGAAAATAACATAATGTTTATAGGAATATCCTATTAATTTCAGTTATAATATATATATATATATGTACATGTATACGTATATATATATATGTATGTACATGTATACGTATATATACGTGTATCTCATAGTATATCCAATTATGATTGGTGATATTCCCATCAAATCATATTCAATCTCGTTAATAGCTATATCTCCCATTGATATCCCCGCTCCTTAAACAACGTCCATGCCAGAGGCCTCCCTGTTCATTGCGGCACTTACGCCGATCGCCAAACGAGAGGCGCGCTGTAACCACCACGATGATAATGGGATGACAGTTGATCCCACATTTCCTGATTTGATGACCCTCATAATTTGTTACAGTTTGCGAACTGGAAAATAGCCATGTAGTTCGTTGAAAATAGCCTCATAAGAAGTGTTGTGACTTTTCCGCTACGTTAAATTAAGAAGTTTCTGGTCCCAATAAAAAACCCCTTTCGACGACTGCGGAAAAAAACAAGATTTGTTTCCTGGTCTCCCAGAAATTGAAAATGGAAGAATTTGGACCTCTCCTGATATCAAGATGCTAAAAACATCTCAAGACGGAAAACTTTGGCTTTTCCCATCAATTGCTGCTTCAAAGTCCCTGGGGCTCCCCATCTTCCCCCACGCCCCAGGAGCTTCGACCGCGCGAGATGCGACCTATGCATCCAGTGGAACAGTGCCGCGGTGGATTTGTTCCATGGGACAACTCACCTGGGGTACTGCACTAATCCCATCCAGGGACCGTACAATGGGTGTCTAAAAAAGATATTTTAAGATTAGGGGGATAGGATTCAGTGAAATGATTCCCCGAGTTATGCGTGACAATGGCCTACAATCACCCGGTCCCAAACAACTAGTTAACGTGGACAATAGTTGATACTGTAAGTGGGTTGATGGCCGATTGATGGGTTGTGCGTTCGAAACATATTTGTGAATTTTGGAGGAATTCGCAATATTAATCTTTGTCAGGGGTATCCTATAGGGTGGGACATATATAATCATACTAATACCGCCGCTAATCAAACATGGCAATGGAAAATCCATCATATCTAGATGTTCAAGTTAATTGTAGAGAAATTTTCAATTTTGCCATGTTTGATTACCGGAGGGTATCCATTTTGGATCTCTGCCCCTTGGTAGATTTACCTGCCTGTTGCCCTACCTGCAACAACGCTAGAAGAAACTGAGGGAAATTACAGGTTTTCTCATGACATTACTTTAAAACACGAGCTGCATACCTATATGCTGACAATAGGAATAATCCCTTCCTCCTAATACTAACCCCCCCCCTAATACAAAACACGGCAGGTAGTTTTTAGTATTAGGGGGGTATTTATTATTAGGGAACCAAATCGAAGTCATGTTAATTAGTTATTAATGCATTAGAATGGAGGAAGGGATTATTCATTTTATAAAGATTTCTAAATAATTCTAATTAATTAATTAGATGCATATGTATATAAAAGTATATATATATATATCACTTCATTCGTGTATATGTAATAATTATTCATGAGGGCTTCATGATGGCTACAAATAAGTAAATAGATGTACAATCAATTATATGTGTATATGTAATTAGTAATCATGAGGGTTTTCATAATTATGCTGGCAATAAGATTTATTTGGCAGATAATAGAATCCATAATTTTTATATATGTAATCAAATAACTATATGTGTAATTATATGTAATTAGTAACTATTTAGAATGTGTAAGTATTTATCCAGCATCCAGTGGGTCAGGTGCACAGACAGTCAGCTTCCATGGCTTGTTGGTTCAAGCACAGAGACAGGCAGCCAGCGCCAACAGACGCAAGTCAGTAAGACAGCCTCAGAAGCCATGAACGCAAACGGCCAGCCAGTTCAGGGGGAGCAGGCAGCAGCGGGCCAGGCAGCCGAGGTCCAGGCAGCCTTGGTGCAGCTGGCTGTCCAGACAGCAACTTGGCAGCAAAGAGAGTTGCAGTTGACAGAGGCAGTTGAATTGGAGAGAGGTGCTTTTTTGGAATGTGTTGTGCATTTCATTTCCCTCCTTCCATTTCCCTTTCTAAAGTCCTTACTAAAACTGCTGCTTCTGTGCTGCCAAGCTAGCTCCAGGCAGGTTCTCCCTAATAGTAAGCACCAGACCTTAATACTAAAAACTACTTCACCAGCTGGCATTTCCCTTTCTAAAGTCCTTTCTCAAACTGCTGCTTCTGTGCTGCCAAGCTAGCTCCAGGCAGGTTCTCCCTAATAGTAAGCACCAGACCTTAATACTAAAAACTACTTCACCTCCTTCCATTTCCCTTTCTAAAGTTCTTACTAAAACTGCTGCTTCTGTGCTGCCAAGCTAGCTCCAGGCAGGTTCTCCCTAATAGTAAGCACCAGACCTTAATACTAAAAACTACTTCACCAGCTGGCATTTCCCTTTCTAAAGTCCTTACTAAAACTGCTGCTTCTGTGCTGCCAAGCTAGCTCCAGGCAGGTTCTCCCTAATAGTAAGCACCAGACCTTAATACTAAAAACTACTTCACCAGCTGGCATTTCCCTTTCTAAAGTCTTTACTAAAACTGCTGCTTCTGTGCTGCCAGCTAGCTCCAGGCAGGTTCTCCCTAATAGTAAGCACCAGACCTTAATACTAAAAACTACTTCACCAGCTGGCATTTCCCTTTCTAAAGTCTTACTAAAACTGCTGCTTCTGTGCTGCCAAGCTAGCTCCAGGCAGGTTCTCCCTAATAGTAAGCACCAGACCTTAATACTAAAAACTACTTCACCAGCTGGCATTTCCCTTTCTAAAGTCCTTACTAAAACTGCTGCTTCTGTGCTGCCAAGCTAGCTCCAGGCAGGTTCTCCCTAATAGTAAGCACCAGACCTTAATACTAAAAACTACTTCACCTCCTTCCATTTCCCTTTCTAAAGTCCTTACTAAAACTGCTGCTTCTGTGCTGCCAGGCTAGCTCCAGGCAGGTTCTCCCTAATACTAAGCACCAGACCTTAATACTAAAAACTACTTCACCTCCTTCCATTTCCCTTTCTAAAGTCCTTACTAAAACTGCTGCTTCTGTGCTGCCAAGCTAGCTCCAGGCAGGTTCTCCCTAATACTAAGCACCAGACCTTAATACTAAAAACTACTTCACCTCCTTCCATTTCCCTTTCTAAAGTCCTTACTAAAACTGCTGCTTCTGTGCTGCCAAGCTAGCTCCAGGCAGGTTCTCCCTAATAGTAAGCACCAGACCTTAATACTAAAAACTACTTCACCAGCTGGCATTTCCCTTTCTAAAGTCCTTACTAAAACTGCTGCTTCTGTGCTGCCAAGCTAGCTCCAGGCAGGTTCTCCCTAATACTAAGCACCAGACCTTAATACTAAAAACTACTTCACCTCCTTCCATTTCCCTTTCTAAAGTCCTTTACTA